AAAGGCAATCAAGATGATGTACTCCTTGTCTAAATTCATGCAGGAGTGAGTGCTGGCTTAGCCTGGACTATTTCAGCCAGGACTGAATCAGAAGTGTGCTAATTGAGAGATAAGAAGTGTATGTAGCCCATGGGTAGGGCTTTCAGCTCTTAGAAGTTTGTGTCTAGTAACCAAGGGGAAATTTGTGTATCTAAGCAGATATGTTGGATTTTATTTTCTTTTCTCCCTAGCAGCCAGCTGCAAACTTGTCTGGGAGTTATTGATAGTTTTTGCTGCAATTTTATCTGGTCAGCTAGCCAAAAGCCAGCTTGGGGGCCAAGTTATTCTAGGAGTATCCAGTGAGATGACTTGTTTACAGCAGAGGGCAAATCCCACAGAGAGTGTTGGAGGAAGACAAGGTCCCAGAGGTTTGAGAAAGCTTGGTGGGAATTAGGAAATACAGCAGCAGTAGGGCCAGGGTCACCTCCCAGCAGTCTTCAGGATCACTGTGACGGAGGTGGCAGAGCTCATCGTGCCAAAAGGGTGACCTCAGGGAGCACAGAGGTGGTGAGACGTGCTGGAGGTGCTGAACAGCTTGGGAAACTAAATACTCTTCGAGGGTTTTTTTCTTTCCTTTTGTGCTCTGATGAAAAGCAGAGTCCAAATGCAAAATTCTTTCTCAGGGTCACATCCTGCTCTTGACTTTGGGCTGAGCAGAGCAACTCTGCTGGGGCTGAGGCAAGCACAGCCTTGGTGCTGTAGGCTTTTACTGCCACTGGGAATTTCTGGTATCCCACATTTTACACCTAAAAATATGTTGCCAGAGAATTCTTCTCAAATTATGAGTGTTTTTCACCTGACTCTCATTTTTTTTCCTCCCTTTTGAAGCAGAGGAGCATCTCAGATGGGTGCTTAGATGGAAGGAATTAAGAGTATTGGGTGTGCAGTAATATGGGGTAAACTGAGAGAAACTGAGGGATTTTGTTTGGTTGTTTTTTTAATATAATGTGCAACTGTGAGTGTGAACCTCTAATCAGACTGTCTCCTTGGGGATTTTGTTGTGTGAATGCTGTTGGCCAGACTGCAGGTGCTTTGTCTTGGCCATTTTCTCCAAGGGATACTCCTATATAATTACAGTCTGGGTGGCTCACAGATGGAAACTGGGCAGGGAGAGAACACTGGAAAGGCACAAAAAGCTGCTACCTTGTGGTTTCAGCTGGAGCTAAAACTTGGGTTGCAGAACAAGAAATGCTTTGTGTTTTGGGTCTGGAGATGGACGAGTGAATGCTAGAGAGCTGTTCAAGCTGTACAATGTAGCCTCTTTTTCTTCTTGATATGCTATTTGCAAATGACTTCTTCATTTTTTTTAAAATTAAAGTATTTGCCTTTCATCCTTGTGCAAATATTCTGAGAATAAATGTCAGCCTTTTAAGACAAACGAGAGGGTTTCTGAAATTTGAAACAGATCATTACCAGTGTGCAAGTGCAAGATCAAGTGAGAAAGGACAGGATGTTGCTCTTAGTCCCTCTATGGCAGTGACAGCTTGCCTGGTGGGATTCGGAGGAGGTGGGCTATGCAGGGCCATGCTCTGTGGCTACATACGCTGATGTTGATACTGCAGTTCTTCCCGGTCTCCTGCTCCTACCACACCTGCAGGTGCAGAGGATGGGAGAGAAAAGCCAGCTGGAAAGGGGAGACACAGCATTTCAGATGTCAGGCTTTGGCATACTTACACGATTTTATCCCATTTTCCCATCTTCTTTTCAGAAGAGGCTGCTTGAAAAACTGTTGTAAAGGATACCAGCCTAGTTTGTCCATCCCAGTGCCAGGGAGAGAAGCTGTTTGCAAAGACATTTTGCTCTTTCTGATGTAAAGTCCTTGTACCTCTTGTCAGCAGTGCCTGCTGCATTTGCATTGGGTAACCTGTGGTTTTACCATGCCTCTCCCTGCTGATGCCCAGGGCAGTGACCTGCACAAAGCAGTGAGGCTGAGCCCCAGGGCAACGCAGAGGTTCTCCAGTAGCTCCCTACTCACACCCCAGCAAGCCTGGGTGCTCATGGGCATCACACGTCTGGCCCCAGGACCAGGTTTCCACATTTGCCAGCCAGAGGTGAGGTGCAATATGCTGTGCAAGGAGTCTCATGTGCTCAGTGCCTTGTGCCTGGGATGCCTGTGGGGCCCGGGTCTGGATCACACCTGCAGTGAGACAGCTGCCCTCAGGCTTGGCTGTGCTTGCAGCCTGTCGAGCAGTTTCGCCTTAGGGGTTGTCTGGGTCCAGCTTGTTTGTCCACTGCTGAGTGCCTATTGACTGTGAGAGAGTCTGTCCCATGTGTCCTGAGCATGCCTGATTTCATTGCCCCAGTACTGCTTTGCACGCAGGTTTCAACTTGCCCGTATGATCACTTGCCTAAGACTTAGGGAAATTAGGTCTCTGAGTTGGATCTGCTGCTCTGACTGAGCTGCAGAGAGTAGAAATGCCGGGCAAGGAAGCAAAATCCTTTACATGCATGTCTCCACACAAAATTTTCCAAGTAGAGCAAATTGATGTATCTGGGAGTTTTTGGTATTGATGATAATTTCCATAATTAGTGTGTATGATGAGGGTTTGCTCCATGCTCCACAAAATAATTGAGATGGAAACTTTTTCATTGATTTGGGGAGCTGGAGCTTGCTTGCTCGATTTGCCATGGGTGAGTAAAGCTGATCTGAGTCTTGTAGTGATTTTGTCCGAGTCGGTAGTTGTGTCGTGTGAACTGGGTGGAAATGGCTGCAGCTGCAGAGACCTTGTGCCTGGGTGCATCAAGACCCCAGTGTGAGCATCATCTGGGTGCCTTTCCTGCTGCTAGGGCAAGGCTGCTGCAGAAGGTGGCTTTGCTGCAGAGGTGGGAAAGGGTTGACTGATAGATGCTTGCTAAAAACGGCAGTGCTGAATCTTTTATTGTATAAAATTGAAGCCAGATATGTTGGAAAGTCAGTAGGCTGTCCTAATATGTAAAACATTTCAACAAAGATGTGGTGTTTCATATGCTGCTGGTGTTGTTTGAAAGTCACGCTCACCCAGCGAGAACGGGGATTATTTTCTTGTCATCTCCAGCTTTTTTAGAGGAAAGGGCAGAAACTGATCATATATATGTGGTAATCCAGAGAAGAAAATAGATGCTAAGCAATCTCTGAAGCTATTTGCTTTCTATACAATGAATAACTGCTTCATGTAGAGTTTTTTACTGTGCACCAGTAACTTAATAAAATATACTTTTATTATTTGATCACCTCTTCCCGACTATATATAAAAGTTGATATCTCGGTTATTTTTATTTTTACCTGATACTAACCTGAGCAATGCAATTGAAATGCCAAAGCCTTACTTATCTAATGCAGACTTCCTGTTTCTATAGCAACAAAACTTGACCTTGTACTTAATGAAGGAATATTGGAGTGTGAGTAACTGTGACTTTAAGGTTTAGAAAAACAAACAGAAGCACTTTACATTTGGAGATTAGAGAAATAAAACGGAAGTGACCTCTTTGCATAGAACAAAAAAAATTCCTAGGCTTGGGATACTTCATTAGTAAGAATGAAACCATATTAATGTCATAAGGAGCTCTGTGTTTTAATCTTGTTTACCAAATTAAAATGTAAAAGCCTTTTATAGCATGTGAGGGCTTTTTCTCCCCCTTTCATTTCCAAAGCTGCTGTATTTGTGGTTAGGTTAATGAAAATTTGGGCTGCCTGACAACAGATACGTTTTCCTTTCGTATTGGCAAAAATCCATTGACGGTTTTTGTATTGGCTGAAAATAAAGGGAGCAAAATGTGTGGTGTTTAATCCTACATTTGATCTACAAGTTAGTTCCTGGTCAGTTAGTTCAAATCTGTGTTACAGTGATAAATGCAAACTGCAGGTTAGAGAGCGAATGAAGGAGCAGCTGTCATCTCTTCCTATTTTCTTACGGCTTTTCAGTTAAAATTTTAATAACCATTAAATTCTAATTTAAAACCACTATAGGAAACACCCTATTAAAAAGCAACAATGCTGACAGCAACATATCACGAATGTTTACAGGCCTCTTTCTATATCAGCATTCCAATAAGTGCTACACAACATTTGTGGCAGGTTTATTGAGCTAAAGTATTAGTCTGTGCAAGTAAATGTGGGCAAATGGGAAATATGAAATAGAGGCTTCTATTGCAATCTTACTGGTGAAAAAAATTCCACAAGCCAGTCCAATTTTTGTGTTCCTCTGTGACTTCTAAAAATTTAGTTGTTAGACTCTGATTCTGATAAATTCATCTTCTGACTGAATAAAGTTAGCCAGAATTCAGGGTTTAAGGAAACATTTGATCTAGTGAACTGAGATTTATCTACTCACTTCTGACAAGACAGCTGGGGCAACCAAGGATGCCAGTGATGGTGGTAAATTGCCCCACAGCAAAAGGCAAAATGGAGGGCAGGATAAGACAGATGGGAAGTTGGCTTGATTGAAAGTTGATCAAGATAAGCTATTGGGAAACACAAACCCAGAAACAACATGCTCAGCAAAATCCAGCTTGAAATTGGCTGAGTCGGAGCATATTAAGCTGTGGGCAGGTGGCTTCCCATCTGAGCTGGGAGCCTGCATCCTGCTGAGAGCTGTGCTCTTCTTCCTCCTAGCAAACTGTTTGGAAAGGCAGGTGGTGTCCCTGAGAAGTGTGAAAAGTCATGACCCAAGATCTTTGGCTTCTGTTTATCTATACATTCCCTATTAAACACCTTATAATTTGGTAAAAAGCTTCTTTAGGCAGAGACTGACGGAAATCTGGCAATGGGCATACAGCAGGTATATGGAAATTGCAATGTTTGCACCACAGACAGCTGTTAACAGGCTTCTCTAGAACCTAAATTTGGGAGGGAGTAAAATTTATTTGATTCTGCATCACTTTGACCAAAACTCCTGAGGGATATGAACTGCCTTAAAATTTCCTAGCCAAGTTTCCTAGTCTTTGCAGGTGGGGGCTGATTGTCTGTGTACTCTGTGTTTCAGGGATAGAGCTCTGTCCTCCCGGGCACCGGTTCATGATCACCATGGTGGCGAGCTTCATCGAGATGGCAGGGCAGTTCCTCATGCCAGGGCTGGCTGCCCTCTGCAGGGACTGGCAGGTCCTCCAGGCTGTCATCATCTGTCCCTTCCTGCTGATGCTGTTTTACTGGGTGTAAGTATTTCTTCCTCCTGCCAATGAGCTCCTGATGCTGGACTTGGGAGATGCTCCACTGCCGGGAAGTGTGTGTGAGCCTTTCCCTTTGTTCTTCCCTTCACCTTGTGCAGAGGCTTGGCTTTGAAATAAGGAAGAAAAGCTTTATAATCTGCTGTAGCATGCACATACTCTGCACCCTGTGACACGGTGGGCACTTGGGAGATAGTATCCTTTCACTGAGGTGAAGTTGTACTTTGTTATTATCTTGGCTGTCACTTCCCCTTTAAAGACTAAACTATTTCTTGAGAGGATGCATCCCAGCCTAGCTGTTGTCGGATTGTGACTGCATGGCTATATTTTCCCTTAATACCTGTGTTGTGGTTCTGGACTGACACTGTTGGTTTCTTTGATCCAAGTAAAGTTACAAATAACATCTGTCAGCCCTGGAACAAGCACACTTGGATGTTTTGCGTGCGTGAGGTAGTCAGCTCTAAAATAGACTTGATTTTGCCCAAATTAGCACATGCTATGCCGAAGTCTGGGTGGCTGGTCTGTGCCAGGCAGTGGCTCAGCATTGTTCCTGCAAGGAATTCCCCACTCCCAGCCGGTCCCACTCCTCTCTGTCTGTGGCACTGTGCTTTTGGTAAGGCTGTCCTGAGAGAAGTAGGATGGCTTTCATTTTGGGAATAGTGCCAGGTCCATCTCCACCATGACTTTATAAACATTCCAAAATATCTTTCTTTGTTGTTCTGTCTTAATAGTGACACGCAGTAGTGGTGTAAGACAACAGAGGCTTATGAGAGCAGCGTTGTACAAAACCATAACAATAGGAACACTGACAAGTCTAAAATATTTAGTTATAGCACACTGAGAAAAATGAGGAAAAAGGCTGCTATTCTGTGGAGGACCAAGCTTGTTATGTACCATGGTGAGCTAGGCTGCTAGATGTAATGCCTGGCAAGTTACAACATGTAAAAAAACTTGTTACAGTATGTAACAGTTATATTTTTGTATCAACTCCCTACAGAGCCCCCCTGTGTTGATGGTGGTAACCCTCAGTGGGGATTTCACTGCTTATTCCCAAGGTAGACGTGCCTCAGCATGGGCAAAATGTGCACTCAGGAGAGTTACACGTCCCTTGCAAGATAATGTCAGCAGAGGCAGGGGGTTACCCCTGCATTCTAACATACAGCATTTAAATAGCCTCATCTTGACAGTGTTAATCTTGATGAATAATGAAGAGTGTTTTTGTTAATCTATGATGCTGTTCTTCCCTCCCTTACCTGCTCTATGTTACATGCAGGCTTGTCTGCTCCAAAGCTTCATTTAGTAATGCTCGCCAGCTGAAATACCTGATGTCCATCACTGGATAAAACACAATATCAAACAGAATATTTACAGACATTTGTGTCCAAAAGGATGATACAGTGGTATGGAGATGCTTAATGAACATAGGGAATGGCGTGGAGAACAGACATCCCTCATCAGTCTTCTGGAGGCCACACATTTTCCAGGTGGCTTTGGCAGGGTCTCACACATTCCTGTTGAGAGGTCATTCTTGAGTGACATTGAAAGGGACGGGAAATGCTAAAATTATTCTGTAATCTGAAAGAGCTCTGTGGCTTTTTAGCTGGGCAGGGCAGGTAAACCAAGCAAATAAGTCCCCCTTATATATTGTGGAACATAGCAGCTTGATAAATAGTGGTAATAGCCGGAGGATCAGGATTTGTGTTGCCCAGGGTTTTTGCATTTGCAGAAATGAACCTTGGTTGGGATTTAATTATATTGTCAGTACAGTATGTACTTTTCTCTTAGGCTTTTCTCTTCCATCTGTTGCATATTCTCTGGGAAGTGTTACCATTTTATTACTTCTTTCTTTCCTTCCAAATGGAACGTGGACTCACAGCGTGTGTTACAGATAAAGGAAGAAAACTAACTGATTGGTAATAAAAGAAGAACAGGAAAACTGTACTGCTTGTTAATTCCCTATCATGTACCCAAAGCAGTGAGTCTAATAACAGATGCTGCAAATAGCCCCTGCACTGCCTCCTCCTTCCTCTGTACTCTCTTCACTTTCATCTCCTGCTGTGAGAGTGCTGTTTGCCCCCTCAGGGCTGGGCTTAGCCACCTTCCCACCTTTATTTTGCTCTTCTGTCGGCCACATGCACATGGCAGGCTATACAGTCCCCAGGAGGTGCATGGCTGAGTGGATTGGGAAACTGGGCGTGGATGGGGGAAAAGGGAGTGGCAGCAGATTTGTCTTGGAAGAATGGGCAGATAGGCTTGGATACGAAAGAATGGAGCAGATGCCCCTACTGGGCTCTTAGGTAGTTCTGGAAGGGCAAAAAGGCACCCATGAAAACCAGACATGGGCACAGGGGTTTGTGATAGGTGTATAAAGACAGTTTAATAGAAGTTAGACTCCTTTCCAAGTGTGTGTGTGTATCACAGCCATAAGGGAAGGGGAGCTCCAGTTACACAGAGACTTATTTCTTCTCCCTTGAACAAAGGAAGCTCCAAACTGGATGATGCTATGAATGTCAGTAAAAGTATCAATAATTTGAAATAAACTCCTCCTTCACTCTAACCAAAACTGAAGAAATGGGAAGAGGTGGCTGGTTCTTTTCTGATGCTTTTAGGTAGGATTTACTCACACCAAGACACAAAGTTGTAATAACTGGGTTTGTTAACCTGAGGCAGACCCCTAATTGACACCACATTACAATCTTTCCATGGGCATCCGTTTTCCATCCATCTGCACAGAATCACAGTTCTCCTTCCAGCTGCATGTGGTACTTTCCTGGTCTTTGTCAAGGATTCTTCTCCCAGGATTTCTCAATCTTAAGATCTTTTTTCCTCTAGTATGCCTTCCAGTCATCCCCCTCTCCTCTCCCAAGCAGCAGCAGCTGCGGAACAGGAGATGAAAGTTTAACCCTACCCTGCCCCCTGTTCTTTTCCTTGACTGTAAAAGCATGGCCCTTTCCTTGCTGAGCAGACTATCAACCAGCTATGTGAGGAAAATACTGAAAAACAAAGTTCAGCAGGAGAGAGTGCATGCATTGGCTGTAGTTCACCAGGGACTAGGTGTCTGCACACCTTGGAGCAGGAACACTGAGGGAGCTTGGTGTACTGCTCTAAGGGAGACAGGAAACAAAGGATGGAGTGGCAGAGAGGGATTGTGATCAAGCTCTGTCTGAAACAATGCAGCTGATGAGAACTGTAAGCCAAAGGAATGACCCAAAAGGTGACCAAAACCTGAACTTTGTCACATTAGTTCAAAAATATGTATTACTTTTCACACCCCCACATATGCTAATGACTGAAGTCACCCAAATTCCAACCTAAGCATGAAATGGTATCACCTGTAACTTTGCCTTTTCCTCTGCCTCAATGAAAACATAAATGTAGCTTAATTGATGAAGGAGTTCAGAGGAGACTTCATCTTTATATCCTGGGACTGTTGATGGGCTGTACCTACCCCTTCTCTCACCACCTGCTGTGCAAGACTTGAACACTCAGCTATAAGTGCTTCTTCAGGAAATTCAAAGAGCAAGCTTGTGTTTGTGATCATACTTTTAGTCACCTCACAATTTAATAAATTTGTCAATGGCTGTATTACTCATACTTCAAGTATTATTGGTGTGTTCCACAGACTGTATTTATCACCAGCAACCCAAGAACCTGCATTTCTGTTGCTCAATAAGTGACATTTTTGCATCTGGCCATGAAATTTATGGAATGTGACCAAACTTCTACTCTGGCCATGAGATTCCATTCTCTGCAACCAGACTTAGTGTGTCACACTGTTTGAGAATTTGTGACCATGGGAGTTCTTATTGTATGTGACTGGACTGATGACCTGGACTCAGGGCAGCACACGGATTTTTAAGTGGCCTTAAGGAATCTCTCACTGCACACACTAAGTGATGGAGCACCTGAAGGCTGCTTGACTTTGGCACTTCCAGTTTTAGAAACGTGCACCAGCTAGAAGATAAGACATGTTTGTCCCCAACCTGTGATGCCCATCCTTGTGGCTCCTTTTCTTTCCCTACGTGTGGGTGGTCACAGGACTTGTTGTTTGGAACCTGTAAGACTGTGGAAAATCTAAAACTTATAGGCTGGTGGCTGAGGCTGTACCCTCTCCAGGGCAAAGCCTGCAGAGATTTTGCATTCAAAAAATTCCTGGTACATTAAAAAAAAAGCCTTTTCTTTACAAGACTTTCTGCTGGAAGATGTGCCAAATCATCTGTGTAGCACAAGGGGTAGTAAATAAGCTGTCAAGCTGAATGGATGTTATCATAGTTGTTATATATTTTTATTGGCTGATATAATTTAGATTGCAGCCTGCCTGATTTCTCTCCTTTTTATTTCTTCTTCCAAAATACTTTCTCTGTCTCAGTTGGAGGCTTTGCTAAGGTGTCTTCCAAATTGTATCAGCCCTAAGAGATAGTGCAATAATGGTATAATTGACTGCTTAGAAGTACAAGAACTGGGCAACATCCACAGCAAAGATCAGTGCTTAGTGAAGGAAATTTGAGGTTTTATGAAGTATTTGAAGTTAAAAGTAGTTGTTAAAATTGTTTTTAGTAAGGTCTTTTGGAAGAGTAGTGGAAACGAGGTCTTAGCATGAAAAACTATATCCTTAGAGTGAGATCTGAAAGTTTTCATGTCTATAGCAATATGAGAGGTTTTAGGGGTTTGTTCTAAGAGCTACATATTTCTTTTGGTTTTGTATTAAAATAAACTCATTTGGAAAAAAAGGGAGAGTGACCAGCTAAGCTCATTAATCTGGTTAATATCAGCACTTGAAAGAAACACTTGGATGGAAAACAGACTTTTTTAACTGTATGCATGTATATATTTTTGAGGCAGCTAACAAAATAACTGTCTTTGGTAGGGGAAGCTTATCATCCTAAGTAATTCTTCTCTTTCATCTGTCTATTGCAGACAGTGCTGTCTCTTCCTCTCATTTCTTTCAGGTTATATTAATGGACAGAGCACCTGTAATGTTATAAAATTCCGATGTGTCATATTTCCATGTGATAGGATACTTCCTCTATGATTTGTGAATCAGGGTAAAAGAAAGTATCATGATTTTGCACATTCTGAATCTGTTTTCCTTCTTTTTTATTTCATAAGTTGTTCTTCTGTTTTTTGAAATAATTACATAGCTTCTGAGTGGTTAAATGAGCAGCTAAAACCCTACCAGGTCATCCTCTGACAGAAATTTGGAAGCAGCCCTAACCTGTTTTCCCTCTTTAAAGTATTTTCCCAGAGTCTCTTCGGTGGTTGATGGCTACACAACAGTTTGAGGCATCCAAGGAACTGATCCTTCAGTTCACGCACAAGAACAGGATGAACACAGAAAGCGACATCAAAGGAGTGGTGCCTGGTGAGTTGGACAGACAACTGCAAATCCCCCAGCTCTTCTCTAAAGGCTGCACGTGGCATTACTGCCCAGAATTAAATTATCTGTTTATTTCCTGTAAATCATCTCATTCATTCATTCATTCATTCATTCATTCATTCTACTTTTCTTGACAATCCATTCCAAACTCCAGCACTGTGTTAAAAACTACATGGCCTGTTGAACAGTCCTAGTAATTATAGTCTTGTCTTGCAGTGCCGTGTGTCTTTAGAGACATCTCTTGAAGAATTTTACCATGGCTACAAGAGTGCGCCTTCAGCTCTGTGTGCCTCTGGAAACTGTGTTTTAAGGAAGCTGCTTACTGGGATCCTGCCCATCACCCAACACTTTGTTGGTTTGGAGAAGCAGCAGCACTCAAACCCCCTATTCTAAACTGCCAGCCTCATGGGAAACTTAAACCACATTAGAGTTTCTCTTTAAAGCTTTGCTCCAAGAGTGGTTTTGCTTTCCTCTCCTGCATCATCTGAGTGATGCTGCTTTAGGGATGGGAAGTTGCTGCAAGTGACAGTGGTAGGGTGCAGTTTTTGCTTGAGAGTCTAAGGTATTAACTCCTTGGTTTACTGATGCTTTTAGAAAGAGCTGGTTCCCCTCATCACCAGAAAGGTCACTGAAATAGCCAAGATCCTGTTTTGAAGGTTGCTGTGCAAAGGAGACTGTGCGTGTGTGTATGTGTGTTTGTTTAATTACAATAAAGGCAAAGAGCTCCTGGATCTTTATATCACCAGTGCTCCTGTCAGATTCGGTTCAGGCTCCCCTTTTCCTTCTCACAGGCTTGATTCTGCCCATAAACACCCATTTTGCACTGTCATTTGCAATCTTGTATCAGACTACCCACTTGTCAGAAAATGGTGGAAATATTTCCCCCACTTTTCCAATCCTACCTTGGGACTCTGACCCCAGGGGCTGCAGGGGAATCTCAGCCAGTAGCTCTGCCAGGGGGTAGAAGTGATGCTTCTGCACTTGCCTGATCCTTGTCAAAGGTCTCTGGTGTAACTGTAGTTTCTGTCAGTCAGTGTTAAAGGTGTTGGTCAGCACTGAATTAAACACAGGCTTAATCCAGAATAGAAAACTGCCACCATTAACATCAGTGCCTAATGAATAAAGCAGTCTCCATCAGTGAGGGATGAAAAGCCCAGTTCAGGATCTCTGGTGTACATACCCAGGTCACTGGTGTGATTTTTGGTGCAGTCAGAGCACTGGTGTTAATTAGCTGGCTCACATGTAATTGTGTGTCAGGGGTTACAGTTCCTGGATCTGCATCACACAACATGGCTTTGCAGTGTAAATGCCATTTTTCTGGTAAAGTTCTGAAAAGCATTAGGGGTGTGTGAGCCATCACACACCTGTTGACCTGCTTCCCCCCCCCCCCACCTCATTTTTGCAGATCTTCCTCAGAATAAATGATGGATCTTGAGAAATGATGGGTCCCTGAGCCAACGACTGGCCTTGGAGTTTCCCAATCAATTCCTAAATTTGGCTTTTGTCAGTCAGCTTCTTGAATTTGCAGATGAAATAAAATGTGTTTTAGGAGAAAGAAAAAACTAATTACCTGAGTTTCCTTTAAGGAAAATAATAAAGACACAACTGTGTGCTGGAGGGATTTATTTAAGCCATGTATAATGATATTGCCCATGGAGAAATGCTAAATGTCAAAATGGCTTTATGACTATTATTTGTGACTGATTACTTTCCTCAGCAGTTTCATGGTAGGAGTACACTTCTGTTTAAGGAGGGGAGTCCCTCTCATGTGAAAAAACAGCATTATTTCACATCTTGATACTATGGATCCTCTGACTGCAAATACATTTAGATATAGCAGTTATCAGTACAACATCTTTTGCAATTTATGAATTATTCAGAACATGGTCATTTCTGCCTCCTTGTTGATGACAAGATTGTTGGGTTTTTTCTTATTTCTTCCCTCACTTTTTCTCTTTAAACTCTTTCTGCAGCCCCACATTTAAAGGCTTTTCTGATGCAGCCCTGGAGGGAAGCTGCATTTCTGCAGGAAGAGCAAGAGAGGAGCAGTATCAAAAGAATGAAATAAGATTAACTACAAACTACTGAAGAAAGGCCCACCACTCTCATTCTGGGTGCATGGGGGTGTTGATGGTCTGAGTGAGGACAGGAGAATAGCAGAATTCTTGAATTAAAAATGTGACCAAACTGCGGGCCTTGTATCTTGCAGTGGGTTAGGAAGAAGGAGGAGGAACCCTTTCTCTGCTGTTGTGTGCTGTAATAACATGCCCATAGCTGCTCTAGCATGGAATGGGTAAAAAAATGGTACTTGTCTGGGAGAAAGAACTCCATTGAGCCTGATGCAGATATCCCTTGTTTTCCCTTGATTCCATTGTTGAGCTTTCCTATCCGTGTGGAGGGATTTTTGTTTGTGATTTGTTTTATTCTTTGTTTTCCATCTGAAAGGGCTGGAAACTGTTTTGCTCTAGTTAGGGGCCATTGTGTTGCTGTTTATTATTCCTCGCTGCATTGTTGTAACAGCCTCCTGTGATTGAATTACTCCCAATGCATTTAAATGATAAATTGCTCACTTGCAGTCCCTTCCAGCTGAAAATCCCACTGTAATTTTACTCGTACATACCAGTCAAATTAGTGTATCCAATATAACAGATCATTATAGGAGTTACAGTTCATATTTACCTATTTTGGCACTTGATGAGTGTTCCATAGTAAAAAGAAGCAGCGTTCAAGAGAACAAAGTATTTCTGGGATGCAAGAAAATTTAATTTTGAATTGCTCTTCAAGCAATGAGCAGGCTGATTTTCCTTTCTGAAGAATCGCAGCATTTCCACTGCCTGCTGAAAGCTTTTGCTTGTCCATTTGGCTACACTGCCTGTAGTGGAGAGAGCCACTAACCTTCTGTAGGGCCTCTTTGCTTCGTGGGGAGGTGGCCAGTGTGTGAGGTGGGGAGGAAGAAAAAAAGGAAGCAACATTTATCTGCTGTTTTTGACAGTCCTTTGGGCTGGAGTAGTTGCCAGTGCTGTCCTGGGAGGTGTTTCTAAAGACAGCAACTAAAAGTCCAGACAGTGATCCAGCTGCAGCTGAAAGGTCCAGCAGCTGCTGTAACAACCCCTGCCAGGAGAAAATGAGGATGAGCAGCTGATGGGCAATGCCCAGCCAGCAAAATAGAGTGAGAGTGTGCTGACACGGCAAACAAATTAAAGTGAGACAAAGGATGCTGATAGGAGTCCAGGGTGTTGTAAATTTACATTGCCCTTGTCTTCAGTAGCCTGTCCCAGGGCTGATGTTGGTTGCATAAAGGGATCTTTTTCCTCATCAGCTTTAAGCAGCTTTATTTTTGAGTGCTTGGTGTACCTTGTGATTTTGGGCAGGAATAATTTGCCTTTATAATGAGATTTTTGGGCTTATATGGTTGCATTTTCTTCTTTAGTGCTTAAGAAACATAGATGAATTAGACCTGGTGAAATTATCCCTAGTATGTTTTGACTCAAACTTTCACCAGTTGGCTTTAAACTTTGCCCTCTTTTAGAAATAAAAGTTTAAATCTGTTTTTGCATCAAGGAAATTACTTTTGTTCAACTGTGTATTGAAATGTCATTTTTAAAACAGGCTTCCTGAATTTTGTTGACAAACGTTTCAAAGCATTACCCAAAAAAGTCAGCTTCAATCATGAGCAAATTAAATATTTTGATAATATTAATTCAGTACAGGTTTTTTCCCACCAGTTTTTCCAGTAATTTCACCATCTCTTCCTTGCTCCCCTGTAGAATGAGAACCAGACATACATTTCAGTGCAACTGCTGGACAGTCATTTTGACCTTAGTGTCATAAATGCTAAGGAAGTATGAAGATTGTTTAACAAACAGGTAAAAAGAGTGTTCAGGGGAATTGGAAATCCTAAAGCACCAACCATCCTTACACCTTTTAAAGGTGTCTTACACTTCAGGTGACTTTCATTCTTTTTATAGAATGCATTCTTTTTCTTTGTGTGGGGTTGAAGGATCTGTTTGTTGCCTGGAACAGATTGTCTGCTGCAAGCTGACCTTGGCTGCCCTGCAGTGTTTGGGTGTCCTGGGAAATGCTCCTCTTGGAAATGCTCCACTTGAGACACTGCTGTATCAACAGCTACCCAAGTGTCACATGTGATGCTTCCATGGAAGCCCACCCCTGTGCAGTTCTCTTTGGCTTCCCCCGTGTGGGGAGACATTTCAGGTGTTCCTTAACATGAAAATAACTGCTTGGCCAGGCTGAAAAACAAAGCTCTCTTTTTGCTCGTCTCTGGATGGAAACACAAACCAGAGGTGCTCCTGTGGGCAGAGAGATTATAGCTGTTGCTTCCCAAAATTCCCTTCTAAGCTTAGAGAAATAGTGTTGATGTAATCACAAAAGGTGGACAGCAAAGGTAAAGCACCCAAACAGATGCCAGTGCTTTAGCATGCAGGACACAACACAGGGAAGGTGAAGAGGTACAGTGATGATAAGTACTCTGTGTGTGTATGTGTGTGGATTGCAGTTAGGAAAGCTGTGGTTTTCAGGGAAGTTCCCTCTGAAGAAAAAAATTAAGTATCTTTCACCTTTCTTGCTGCTGAAAAACATGCTGCCATTACTTTTCTTTAAACATAAGCTATATTTCTGTTTTGTTTTGCTATATATATATTCTTTTCCTAAGCATGAGGCTTGAATCCATGTAATTATGTGCATTTTCCTTTTCCACTGGGTGAATTGCAGAAGGAAGGGTGAAAATGCCTTGTGTCTGAAAGTCAGTCTCTTTCAACTTTACTCATATCCTTAGACCATCACACCTATCACTACACCACTGGTTTAAAGCTTGTGGTAGATGAAAAGTGTATTAGCTGGAGAAGAACAGCAAGTTTCCTGGCTCCCTAATGCAGGTGATTTCCTGTGATAGTGAAGTACACACCTGCCAGATGTCCTCCTTTGACAGATCCTGTTTCTTGGGTGTTTATTGGTGCTAAACTTAAATGTTCCATGCAGCTCTCAGAGGGTGGTCAGGTGGGAAATGTAGTCCAAGGTGCTGCTTGAAGGCTGTGTGTCAGCCACAGACATGTCTATCTTAAAATTTAAGAAAAAAACCACCCCACCCAGCCAGTGATTTCTGTTGTCTTCTTGTGTGTTAAATCAGTTTCAGGAGAGTCTGGGTTTCTCCTACTGGGCCCATTGTCCAGTAGCAAGAACTGGTGGAATTTGTGCAACTCTTTCAGGATGTGCTGTACATGAGAGTGATTAACAAGAATAAAACTGGCCAGTTAGGGCCTCTTCTCCTGGCTGGGTCTACAGTAATGGAAGAGAGCCCGTGCATGACCTGACTGTACCCTTAGCAAAGGTAGCAGTGATATCTGACAGCATCAGGTTTTGGAGGGATCAGGGGGAAAAGGGTGCACTCTACTGAGAATGTGCCTTTTGATGCCACTGGGAAAAGCCAAATATACTAGAAAATTTAAAGGGGAAAAAAAATAAAGAAGAGGGGGCTGTCAGCCTCTATTTCAGTTTGAATGACCCTTTCTCACTAGTTGAGTCCTCTGCAGACTCTCGCTGGCTGCACTCCAGCCTGTTGATTTGTGCCCCTCTGGCACACTGGCTCTTTGTGCACAGTGCTACCTATCCTCCCAGAGGAGCCAGCTTTACAGGGCAGGGACCACGTGCAGAGGGCTGGCAGCAAGCCCTGGTGCTGCTGGCATTTCCCCAGCCCATGGGCACCAGAGGGGAGAGGACTGGTGAGTCCGGATGTAAAGGGTAGGAGGGGAGACCTCGAGAATCAAGTGGAAGTGGAGAGCAGTAAGAGGGGACCAGTGGCCAGAGAAGAGAAGAAATAAGAGACTTTAAAAAGTTCTAGGAGCAAAGAATAAAGATAGTTGGAGGGGACTTAGAGAGGCAAGGGTAACAAAGGACTGGGGGGAAGTAATGGAGGAAGAACATTCTGTAGAGGAGGAACAGAGGAGAGCTGGAGCATGGAGACCAAAGGGGCTGCAATCATTTGCTTCCCCTTCTTTCCAGAGCAAGCTGTCAGGCCCAAGGATTCAGTCTCAGGACTGTTTTGCAAAATCCACTCCTAAAATGTTTGCTTCACCCCTCCCTGCTGCCCAGCTCACTTGCTCAGCTTGCTGAGGTTCCCTCCACAGCTCCCACAGCAGAGAGCAGCCATGCATGTGTGGGTACCTGCAACCTCCTGATGGCCACAGCTCCACGCAGGGACACTGGAGGTGCTCTTTGTGCTATTGTTGGAGCTTTCTTTTAACACTGGTGATGTTAGAAGAATGTAAGCATTGACAAGTCATGCTCTGGGAAATGAAAGAAGTCAGGTTGCCTGGGCAACCCCTGCTTGGCCTCCTGGCACGAAGGCATGCTGATACAGCCTTTAATAACATGATTACGACCTATTTTTTCCACAGGGCATAGGATGGACGAATCAGTGCATAGGATGGACGATGATGTGGGAATGAAGCTGTTGTCTGTTCCTCATTTGTTGCAGAATTTGGAAGGTGTGTAGTGAATGAGGCAGAGGGTTGCAGAAGGAAAGAGGACAGTGTTGGGGAAATTAAGCTGAATACCTCCTGAAGAGCTGTACTCATTCTCTGGGTGTGTCAGGGATATTCTTGTACAATGGTGGAGATTTCCCTGGAATCAGGCCCTTTCAGTGCTGTCACTAATCACAGTTTCTTCAGTGTCCGTCTCTAGTGTGTAATTCTGGGGTTTGATTTGCAGAAAGATAGGAGCATTTATATCAACACCTACAAGGGGTATTGCTGCATGACTTTTTTCTCATTCTGGACACAAATCCTCTCTGTTTTATCTACCTGCCTGCAAAACAGAAGTAATCTTTGCCCTTATTCTTACAAGAAGGTGGTAGAGATTATTGCATTTGCATTTGTGAAATACGTGTATATTCTGACAGCACTGTAGGAATGTCTCTAAGGAAATCTACGATTTTTTGTACTCACTGGGAAGCTTGGATAATGAGGCAACGTTGAATGGGAAAGGCAGAGATGTCTTTAATACCTGCCCTTTGGATGACTGCAGTGAACATTCTGGGGGAAAAACTAATGTGTGATCATCTAAATGCTGTATCATAATGCACATGAGCAACTGAAGACTGCAACAGCAACCTTATGTGTGACTTTTCAATCTTTTTTGAATGTACTTAGAAATACAGGATTTAAATAAATCATTGCAATCAGTCCTTAGCTGCTATAGTGCTAGAGTTACAGAGTTGCTCTCGTGAAAGGAGGTTCATTTTAAATGCTGTTAGTATTTATGTCCAGTGCTTTTGTTAGAAGGCCATCCCAGTCTCCATATTCCTCTTGTACTGCAGGTTCATTTTAGCATTCAATTCAAATACATTATAGCTGTCTGGGTTTGTTCTTTATTCCCTTTCCCATTTGTTCCTCTCTGTGCCTATCTTGTATCAATTTTTCCTCATGCTATATGAGAAGAGAGCAGAGCAGCCCTATTCCTGTACTGAAATGAAGTTCTCCTCTATCTCCTCTCCTTTTATAAATGGGCTTTCTGGAGCTTTAGTTTGCCAAATATTGATGACCAGAATTGTAAAAGAATTCCAGTATTTCATTGTCTGAATTGCAAATACCTCATGGCTGCATTAAACTGGTGCCATATTGTCACTTTTGTTCAAGTAGTACATAACCAAGTCCAACACACGTTTTGCTTATTCTCCACCAGAAACATTTCCCCTTAATCACTGAGACTTTTTCCTTTTATTTCACATTTTCACTTGCTTTTGCCACACACTGGATCTAAGCTCACCCAGTTCCCTCTGATGGCCATTTGCATTGTACTTACCTTTGATAGTAAGGTAGTGCCTCACTTTGTCACAAGCAGACCTTATTGGTACATTTCTGAGATTTTTGCCAAACTCTCTACTCAGGTTATTAAACAAGATTTTTTTTTTTAATAAGATGTGTCATCCCACTACTAATGTCCTGCCATCCACTCCTGATTTCTATTTTTCTATCCCTTATTGCTCTCTTCCTATCAGTCAGTATTTTACCTACCTCATAATTTTTGTGTATGCCTTGAGAGCTGGACAAAAGTCCTGGAGGGTATAAATAAACTTGTGTACCAGTAACTCTACCTGCCTGAGAATAGATTGCTTCACCTCTCTGTTTTGGACTGGTCCACCTCCTGCTGCAGAGCTGTCATGCTCCAGGGATTGATTGAGTCTTTGTGCTAGGCTTCTATAGATCCTTTCATGTTCAAAGAGCTGCTGACGGTATCATTTAGTAGCCAGAAAAATCCAACAGAAGTCCATCACCACAGGACACTTGTCATTTTAGACATCATTTTTCAGCGGCTTGATTTGGGCTTTTGTCTGTTTTGTCGATGCCAAGTGATGCAGAGATGGGTGGCTTCATCTGAAGGCTTTAAAGATGCTTTCCGATTTTGAAAGGCAGTTCCTGAAATGCAGAGGGTCCCATGAGAATTCAGCAATGTTGCAAGGAGGCTTGTTGTTGTTGGAGGCTGGTAGGGTTCCCCTTCCCATGAGACTTTTAAAGTCTGCCAGTGAATAGTTCTAATTTCCACTGAGATATAGAAAGTTAGCTTGTTGACAGTTTTCCTACTGAGTCCCTGAATAGGAAGCCTAGAGTGTGTGTGGGCTCTAGAGTATGGGAAAACTTATTGGGGTCCTCTGAATAAATGGAAAGAAATATTTTTTTATTCCACATTCTCCCTTTTGGTAAATCAAAACTGAACCATTTAATGCAAATTCCTTCTGTACTGGTGACTTCAGTGTGAAATCAAAGGATAAGTGGGGGGTACAGGGAGCTTTTCTGATGTTAGTCCTGAGAGAGCAATGGTTTGCTTCCATGAGGTTTTAATAGGCTTTGGCTTGACTTTTATTATCTTAACTTTGACCTATGAAGTCAGTCAGCCTGAGAGCTGTCACTCTCCTGATGCTCATCAAAGTCAGTCAGAGCAGGTCCTTTCATGCAGGCAGGCTGCCTCCAAAGACAGCAGGTCACTTACATGAGAGCCAGTTCTGTAGCTGACGAGTTTTTTGCAAGTCACATAGCTTATTTGTTCCTATTGGAATGATATTTTGGTTATTGCAAGTCACTGATTTTGCAGTGCAGTGGGGATTTTTGGAGAATATCTCACTAGTATTAGCAGAAAAAAAGGAAGGAGAAAGCCAACAGAAAGATTGTGTTGGAGACTTGGAGACAAATCACTCATCTAAAGCAAGTGACTTAGATTTGGACTTTCAACAACATCGTAGAGGGATGGAGAGGTAAACAGCTGGTAGAGTCACAAGGCTCTCAATAAAAAGCCAGGATCTGTTTGCATTCTTTGGTGCAAGGTTTGAGGCCAGATTATTTTTATTCCCTCTTTTTTCTTTTTTCCCCCTCTTTTTTTCTTTATATTTTCTTCCCTCCCTTTTTTCCCCCTTTCTTTTTAATGCTTGTAATGTTGTTACATCTGGAATCGAGACATTTTTGTATAATGCTGTGATGTATCCATGGAGTATAAGCCCCATGAGAGCAGAAGCAAGGGTCCACTGCAGAAAGACTGCTGCAGGAGTAGGGTAGAGAAGGGGTGAGCTCCCCTGTCGTGTGTGATCACCACTGCAGAGACACAGGAGGTGTTTTACAGCTCACATAACCAAATGAGCCTTTACTTGAGGGCAGAACAGCATTTCAGTGAAAAACACCTGATGGGAACTAGTTCAGAAGCACTGATTTATGAGTGATGTTAAAAAGGGGGGCCTGGGTGCACATGAGAAGGATGTATGGCAATAAACAAAGGACATATGGATTATAGGAACCACTGGTGTATGAGCAGAGCAGGAGTGGAGGGCAAAATAATGTTTGGTTCCAAAGACAAGTGTAGCCAAGTTGAGTGTTGCTTCTCTTAATTTTATTCAGTTGTGGCTCTATACAGCATGTGTTTACAAGTAAGTCTACTCTATGTCCTGAAAGAAAAAAGTAAAAATTTCTCTGAGAAACAAACAAACAAAAAACCCTATCAGATTAAGAAAATCTGAAGATTATGGCATATGTACTTTCTGCTGACAGAAGATGAGATGTTTTACTTTTTATGTCAGATCTGGTCATTCTTTGAGAGTGAACCCTTTTGTCCACATGAAATTTGTGCAATATGTGTTGTTTGGGTAGTGATTTTCATTGTTGCCCTTCAGCTGAAATAGTAAACACCCACCAACAGCCTTTCAAAACCCTTGTGTTTCTTCTAGTGCTTGCTTTGACTTTTTTTGCTGTCTAAGTTTTGGCTTGGGCTCAATCATGAGCTTTACAATTATGTTTTCCTAACTGCTTCCATTGCTCTGAATGATTTTGTTCTCACTTATTCCTTCCTAGAATCTTGCTACAAAAATTATTTTTACCTGGTTTTTTGAGATTAGGTTCCATTTTTTTAAATCGCTAAATATTTTAATAAGTTCCCGATCCTTTGCTGAGCCCGAAGAGATCTTCTGTAATACAGATATTAATTTAACCAATTTCTTCTTTTGCTCCACCTTAGTTTTTCTGCTTTTGTGAGCTTCATGCTGCATAGGTTCTGGGGAGAAATGGCCATTATCAAGTTGTTAGGAAAGTAGTATAGCAATATTCCATTTAATTTAGTGATTAAGTACAATCACTAAACTAAAATACCCTTTGCTGCTTTTGTCAGAAGCCTTCCCAGTAGTTACTCTAGAGAGAAGACCAGGAGTGACCTGTGAGCAGTTAATAGTTCGAGTATGCATGTAAATACTGTTTGTTTGATTTATTATTTTTATGATGCACTTTTCAAATAATAGCTGGCGGATGTGTTTTTTGTTTAGCTTGTAAGTTCAGGTGACTTTTTTGGGTTTTTAAGTCGTCCCCCCCACTACAGCTTGCTTTTATTTTCTGCTGTCTTGCATCTCTTTAGGAGGTTGCTATTCAGCAGAGTAAGGCAGAGGTCAGGGCAGGCCAGTGTGGGCAGCTGGGGACACCCCAGCTCATTGCATATGCACGAAGGGAACACGTGCACCCTTCACAGCAGGGCCACGCTGCTGCCTTTGAGCACAGTCAGGCTAGAAAGCAGCAGTGAAAGCCTTTACCCCAAAAAACAGACCTAGTCTGTGCTCTTGGAGGGCATTATTTCTGTGATGCTTCTTTACAGCCACAGCTTCTCCTGCTTTTATTGGACTTGTTGCTCACTGATCTGGTAGCTTGGAAACAGTGGCTGCTTTGGCACGCTTAGGTAGGTGTTCAGGCTCTAACTTAAAGCTAATTGGGAAATATGCAGTGCCCTTCAGTATTGTCCCATGCCAACAAGGGTATCAGATGCAACACTTGCAAGGTTTTTGTAATGCTGATATTTCAGCATTGCAAAAAAAAAAGTTCACTTGAAGCTGCCCAGCACTAGAAAGATATGGTGGGGCTTTAGTTATGAAATGCAAAGAGACCACAGCTGCTGATGCCCAATGATTTTCCTTTAAAGAAATGTATTAACATTTAGGACATCCATCAGAAAAAATTTAAATATTTGAAAAGGAAATGGAGTAGAAGATGGATGAGCTGACATAATGTCCTGGCCACTTCCTTCTGCAACTTGATTTTGAACAAACTTCAGAAGATTACGGTGAAAAATGAGTTTGAGCTCCAGTCCTTTCCATGGCTTTTTAGGTATGCATTGCACAAAGGGAGCAGAGCCTGTAGCTGCACAAGTGCAGTCCTCCCTGTGGAGGAGTTTAAAACTTAGCAGAATCCTGAAGTTCTTCAAGAAATTTGCTATCATGCTTGTTGGGGTCAAGCTACTCCCACTTTACATACACATTTTTAACTGGAAGAAGGTTTGGAGTATGAAGGAGTTCTTAGTTCTTTTGCCCCAAGAAGATGAAGGGAAGCCTGGAAGAAAAGGAGGAACCTGTGCTGGACTTCAGCACAGTTCAGCAGTTCAGCATTTTTATAGTTCCTGTTAATGTAATCAATAGTGTTCTGCTCTCCAGAACATCCCTCAGAATATCTTAGTTCACAAGTAAATGTTCTCCTTCTCATTCTCCTCAGTGAAATGATAATTCTGATTTGGTTTGTTTCAGAGCTGGAAAAGGAAATCACCAGGAGACCGAAGAAAGTCTGCATTATTAAAGTTGTGGGAACAAGGAACCTGTGGAAAAACATCGTAGTGTTGTGTGTGAACTCGTAAGTCCAATCTCTTTGTTTAAATAGTTGTGTGGTCAGTGAACTGGAGCAGCAATGGGAAATGATGAGGGAGTTGTACTATTTCCTCCTGTGGGACCCTTCACTAATATGTCTGATAAATGATCCCGGAAAAACTCCGGCTGTTGCAGGGAACTGTATTTTTTGTGGCAAACGTGGCGGAGCTCATTGGCTGTTTCAGGCAGCAGAACTGCATCTTCTCAGGTGCCGTGCTGCATCTCCATTGCTGTCACCAGTGGGCTCGTGTGGCCAAGTGTTCATGCAAGCAGACATCTGCTTGGCGTCCCAGCTGGGAGTTTTTGAAACCATTTATGCCCCAGGAGTGCAGGTTCAAGTTGTTTACATCTGATAGGGCTGTGGTGCAGAGGAAGATGTTGCTTGCCGGTAAATGCAAGTTGCTCCCTCGTATAACAGCTGTGCTTGGTGGGTGTTCAAAGGCAGATTACAAAGTGCCTCAGCATTCCCAAATTATGTGCAGGGGGTCACAGCGAGAATATGCAGTCCTCAACAGAATAGTGTGATGCTTGCCTCCTAAGGCTTCAGTTTGGACATGCTTATGTGGGCAAAAACAAGCATCAGCCTGAGAGTTTTGCAGGTTACAGGCTCTGAGACCTTCTGTCCAGAACTGAACACCTCGTAAAAAGGAGCTACATAGGCTTGCAAATTCTGGAAGAGCACCAGCAGTGCATTTTCTGATTTTTCCATCTTGTAAAATGCCCATTTGATTTTTTTCCTGTTTTTTTTTAATGGGAGGTAAGGATGGAGAAGGCTGGGAATCCCCTTTCTCTGCTAGGTTTCAAAGTATGTAGCTCTCTTGTGGCTTTTTCTTCCTCACTTCAGGGCATTACTCTGCAGCCCTCACTTCTGCTAGCAGGCTTATGGATCAGCCATCCCCGAGAGGGGACAGCCCCTATGCTGGGCAAATAGTCACCCAGAAGCACACAGATTTCAGGGGTCAGTCTCCAGTGTTATTGGCTGCAGAACCAACTCTGGTTTTACAAATTTTGTGTCTCTCTTCCACCCACCAGTGAGGGTCTCCCTCTGTTCTGAAAGAGTGTTTTCTCCTTAGGCTCACCAAGCACATTTAATAGACAGTGTTAAATGTATTTGTGAAAACTGTTTACATGGGGAATTCTCCCCCTCTCCCTCACCCACATTAATTTGCATATTTGGAAATTCTCTAAATCAGAACTAGGCAGCCCAAAGAATAACTTCTGAGATTAGCACACGGAGGCTGTTTGCCATCCAAGCAGAGCATGAAGCAGATGTACGTCTGAGGAAATAGATTTCATGTTTGTTTTGAAGGGGTGAAAAATATATTATTTTATTTTACTTCTGTTATTCCTGTTAGACAAGGCTGTGCTGAATTTTTAGTGCGTGAAAGAAGGAACCTTTTGCAGGGAACAAAAAGAAATCAAGGAAGTCAAGGATTTAGTTTTAAATGTAACTATTCTGAGCTGCTCACCAACTTCAGAGAATTGAGTAATTCTTAGGGAACAGGCTGGAAAGCAAATGATACAATAGTTTACTTTATGGGTCATGGCCTCAATAGCAACTTCTGCAACTGTGTTCACATGCATGGAAGAGAAAGAGAGAATAAAAGCTGGTTAACTCTGCCCTTTTATTATTACTGTTTTGCTGATTAATATTTCTCTTATGGGAGGAGTCAGCTATAACCTAGTTATTCAAAGCAAATGTCATTTTTTGTATAACAGCAAGCACTCATATTAGGTTGTTATCAGAGGCAAGGTTTGGTATTGAGGGTGGAGTTTTGAACTAGAGCATTGATTCACAAGTTTGCAAGAAAGCTCCTCAGGCCCGGGGCTGTCGTGGACTCAGTGACTGTGTATCCCCCCAGCGGTTTCTATGCTTATTTTCCAGTTTACACTGACAGAGCTTCAAACTTGCGACCTTCAGGAGGATAGAAGCATATCCATGTAATGTACCTGCCATTCTGAATTTTTTTTACTTTTTTTTGAGACCTGGATCTGTGCCTCTCACTGTCTCAGGCACTGTTAATTTGTGCCATGAAATTTGTCTTGTGTAAGTGCCAGAGACAGGAGGTTTTCCTGGCAGAGGTACTTGAGCTGTGATGGGTGCAGTTGAAAGCATTGGCGTCTCCTGTTGCACCCCTGCTGCTATTTTGTACCACATCAGGAGTGAAGCTGGGGCTTCTCATCTGACCTTTGTAGCTCCAGCCCCCTGCTCTTTCTTCCCCTTTTTTTTTTCTTTTTCCTTTTCTATTTTTTGGGGGGCACAGGGTGAGACAAGAGGTGTGAAATGTGGTGGTAAGATATTGATCGGTGGCATCTCAAAGAAACTTTTTAAAGAGGAGACACATTGCTATGAAGGGTGGTGTAAATGTGTAGACTGAATTAGAGCTTATTGTTTCTTAATTGTAATAATCATTGCAGCACATACAACTTCAAATAGTCCTTTCTCAGGGTCTTTCAATTTTAACAGGCTAGTTTTGGAAGTGGGGTGTAATGCTTGTATTTAGTATGACCAAATGCCACAGGCAGGTGGGTATTCCTGATGTTTTGCTGTCCAAGCACAGAGTCTACTTTGTCTCAGCAGTGCTGGCTCTGTAGCTGTCAGCAGGTGCACTGGGAACAGGGAGATGTGCTCCTCTGGGAATGAGATTTCTCAAATACAATGGGAAAACCTAACACACACTAGGAGCTCTTCTGAAGTTCCCCATGCCCTTGATCATACCATGAGCAGCAGCTATATGAATAAAGTCAGCAAATATTAGGTTGAATGGAGATGTTTTTCTTTTGCTTCTTTTTATCAATGCTTATTTTCACAGTAGCAGCTAGAGTTAAGTTGCTTAACTTAAGGTATTTTATTCCAGCATTAATGACACCCCACATTGAACTACATTGTGTGTTCTGCTCCCTTAGCAATGGTCTCTCTTGCCCTCTCCTGTTTCCCTCAGGCTGACTGGTTATGGCATACACCACTGTTTTGCAAAAAGTATGATGGGGCACGAAGCGAAGATGGCGATTACCCACAACTTCTATGCGGACTACTACACCATGGCTGGGATTGCCCTGGCATCCTGCCTGGCCATGTGCCCTGTGGTTGGCTTTCTGGGGAGGAGAGGAGGACTCCTGCTCTTCATGATACTCACAGCTCTGGCATCACTCCTGCAGCTGGGCCTTCTCAACTGTAAGTTGGAGATGAGAGCATCTCCGGACCACACAAGCTTGACGTGCAAATAAGGATCAGGAAATACCAGCATTTCTTTTTCCTTTCCCACATTTGTCATGTGATACACCTGCATAGTTTTAGAATCTGAATTTGTTTGAAGGTTCCCCCAAACACTTGTTTCTCAGGCTCATTAACAAAAGGCTCTGTATTCTGGATGATTCCCATGGTGAAGCTTATTGAGCATTGGTGCTGTAGTCACCAAGAAAATAAACAAGGAAACAAGAAACGCTTTCAATTTTATTTTAGTGAGATAGCCCCCAGGGAAATAGCTGTATAGAGATTGGGAAGAGAAAACTTTCCCAGTCAAGTCTACTTCTCAAGTGGGCTCTAAACCATGCAGAAGTTAGAGCAGTAAGTGTTTGTCTTCTGCCTGCTCTTAGCATCTTGCTGTGAGCAAGTAATCTGCAGGTAGCATGGAAATCATGCAGCTGACAAACCCTGCTTTTAACATATTGTGTTTGTATAGTCCATGTGAATGTATACACATGATTTTGGGAAGTGACACAGCATGGTTATCCTGCCAAAAGTGAGTGTTCCACCTCTTCCTTTGCAGGCAGTAACTTTTGTCTGACCCTTTTGAGCTGCTTCAGCTATTAAAACTGCCATAGAAATACCCTCTTTCCTTTTTTGATTTTCATTCTCTTCATTTTTTGTTGATTGAGGAAGTTGAACTTGATGAATCAGAGAGGTGTTGAAGCAGAGGGAATGTGGGATGTGTTTTGCCACTCTTACAACTGCCAATCATTAGACCCCTGTCCCAGAAAACCCCACCCCAAGGAAGGGAAAAGAGGGTTGAGACATGCTTTGGACAAACTGGATGTGAGACGAACACCAAGAACACCGGTTATTGCTGGTTGTAATTTCTAAGTTTAGAAATAATTGAGGGCCTTAATAAGAAAGACCTTTTTGCATTGAGGATGGAAAGTTTTCATGTTCTTGCATACTGAAGGCAGCTCCAAGCCAACAGGAATTGTTCATGTTTACAGACTGTGTTTCCTGGAGGCATTTACCAAGTTAACTTTTAGCAAACAAGCTGTTTGTGGGAGTGTAGGAGGGAAACAGGGAACCTCTTTCATGGCATGGAGGAAACTCCAGCATCGTGTGTGTTTGCTCCCCGTTTGGCAGAGATGTTTGCATTCCCTTTGAGCACATATTTACCATGTCCAGCAATCCCAGCTGAGAGTGGGAGAAGTCCCATGGGTGCATCTCATGTCTGTTAATGGACTGAGACCGTTCACAGACTCAGATTCACACTGTGCGAGTGTGTAAACTCCTGAAACTCCATGTTCTTCTGGGGGTGTCCATCAGGGTCTCTCCACACTGAATTTACCCGTTTTTGTTTTAAGGATGGGAGATTTGTTGAAGCTGTTGAAGCAACAAACTCGCACTTGCTTCATTGATAGACGATGTGTCAGAGCCTTTAGTCTGCTCCAGAGCCACAAAAATCTGGTTGCATTTTTTAAAAAAATTTATGAGAGAGGTGGGAGACAACACCCTATGTAGGACTCATTGCAAGCTTTTCCATAACAGGTTTAGGTGGTTTTGTGAACCAAGTTGCCAAAACTAAGATCAGGCATGGCTTTAGGTGCTTTGTGCTACATTGGTACTCTCAGTGCTGTGCCCCTATCAACCTTTCTGACTCCACTATTTTCTTTGTGAGAAGAGGAGGGAAAGGAAGCCTTGAACTTTAGACCAGCTCTCCCCACTCTTGACCATGGCCATCCCTTCCTCAGAAGAACTAGATGTTGTTTGGAGAGAAGCAGTGACCTTGTTTATTATGAAATCTGTCACAGCATCTTGCATGTTTTAATTTAGCATAATTTGGGTGTAATTGGGAAATGAAATCCAAATTTGAGAATGGTGAGAGAGAGAGGGGGGTATTCTCCACCAGCCACAAACCTGCAGCAGACCTTGAAGCTCTCCTTGTTTGGCCCCTCCTCTGAACTCTGGAGTGTCACCTGGGAAGTCACAGAATCCTGGTGGGAGATAACCAGCATAGCTCTGCCCAGCTTGTGCTGATGCTTCCCCTTGCAGCCCAGTGTTGCTGTGTGCTCCTGTGTGGTTAGGATTGGTGGTTAGTGTGACACATGGACCATCAGCTCATGGTTTCAGAGAGGAATATGTCTCCACCAGTCTGACAGCACTGATGCCCAGATTTTGCTCTCTAACACAAGCTTCTGTAGGCCATTCCCTCGGGGCTGCAGCAGGAGGGTATTTTCACTTCTTCCCCTTCATTAACAACAAAGAGGCCTTTGTGTTAACCCCAGTGGTAATTCTGGGGCTTTTAAATATGCTTTACTGCTGGTCTGTTATCACTGTCTCATTAGCATGCTGTCCTCCAGCTGAGATGTGCCTGGATACAGCATATCCTATCTGGTGGCCAGGGAAGGATGTGATGGTTTGGCATGGGAAAGAATTGGGAGTCAGAGGGTGGGGTTATGGTGGCATGTGGGATTTACCCTTTATATTTTTTCTTTCAGATGAATAAACATAAAAACTGTATGTTCTTGTTTTCTCTCCCTTTCTCTTTTTTTAATCTTTCTCTGACTTCCATGGTCTTGGATCCAGTGATTGGAAAGTACAGTCAACTTCCAGACTCAGGTATGATTTACAGACAAATCTGTATCATGTGGGAAGCACTCATCCAGGAATGGGTAGATCCAAAAGGCCTGGGCCAAAGCACCCAGAACAGAGCTGCTGCCACAAAGGGGTGCAGAGGGAAAGTCCACTTCTGTGCAGTGCCTTGGGGCCCCACTCACAGGCAGGCCTGCTCGTTTATGTGCATCCTCTTTGTGTAGCATCCCCTCCACATGAGCTCACCTCTGCATGTCAAGAGAGGGTGCAGAGGTCCCCCAAGGTTTGACATACAGGGTAAGGCTTTCCCAGAAATTAGTTCTGAGAAACAGCATTTCCAGTTCAGGAATCTCAGATTTTTTTTTTTTTTCCAGAAAAGAAAAGGGGACTTGAACACCTTAAGGATGCTTTTAATCAGGTGACTTAAACACCTTAAAAAATACTTCCCAAGCTGAAGTACTGTAAGAGCAATGCAGTGACCAAAACAAAATGTACCTTTGTGTATCAGATTTGCTGGACCTGTCCTTGCCCAGCTTTTCCAAGGTCTGTTTCTGTTCTGCTGAGCAGTCATGACTCCCTGAGGGGGTCAATGGTGTAGCCTCACCCGCTGTGCAAGAGTGTCCAGAGACCCATCGTTTGCAAATGTCCTGTGCCCATATTCTCATCAGCTGGCAGAATTTGCTCTCTCTCCCAGACTTGGGGTGCATTGCAGAAAGAGCTTAGCCCTGAGCAGGCTGTGGCACATTTCAGAAGATGTGACCAAAGAGCTCCCAAATACCTTTAGCTCTCCTGACAGCTGATATATTCAGCAAGAACAAAAAGCAGGTGTTAATTTTCATTGGAGCCAACCCAGACAGTATGCCTGCCTGGGACTGCACACAGCAGCTCTTTCTTCAGGTAGGTTTGGGACTTGTGTGTAGAAAGGTGAGGGAGCACTGGCTGCAAAGCTCCTGTCAGGCATGATGTGTTCCTCTGGTCTGTGAGTGATGTGGCCTCCTCGCTGGCCAGGACAGGACACATGAGCTTGTACAGCCCTGGTCAGAGATCCCACCCCTACCCAGGGAAGGTGGCGAGCAAGGATCAAGTGAGGGATGTACTGTCATCGTGGCCAGAGACAGTTTCCTTGAGCTTTGTTTAGATTTCCTGGGGTTTCTGCAAGTGCTTGATAGACACTGTTTGCTCCCGGAAACCTCGCTGCCATCCAGCCATGAAATGATTGAGCAAACAGCCCTGACTCAAGGGAGTGCTCCACTGTCCTTGGCATCCGCTGCTCTCGCCCAGAGTTGTCAAGCTGGGAGTTACAACAGAGTTTGCAGACTGATCACATGCAGAGGCTCAGCACAGAGAAGGGAGCACTTCTAGCTCTTTCCCCTTCTTGTCCTGGAAGCCTCCTCAGCCCCCAAGCCCCAGTGTACAAGATGTATGGCAGCTTGAGGAATGCTGCCTGCCTCAACTTGTCTGTCAAACATGAAAAGGAAGAGGCTGGTGCATAAAAGACTGCTCAGAGATTTGTTGTTTCATGTGTTTTACCTTTTCTGTGGTGGCTGAGCATAAAAAAATTCAGAGACCATTGCCATTTCTTGGCATGATGTTATGATTTTTTTCATGTGTGTTTGTATCTCAGGTGCTTGGGGAATGGATTTTATAAATACCAGTTTTAAATTAGTATTACAAAATTACTCAAATTCTTGTTGAGGGAGAAGAGTAATATAAATATCTTTATTTTTTTTTTCTTCCTTAGAAGTTTCACCTCATTCTTAAATTTTATGAACACACTTGTCTTGCCAGGTATGAGTGACAGTGTCAAAGACAAATTCTCTGTTGCGTTTTCCATCGTGGGTATGTTTTCTTCGCATGCTGTTGGAAGCCTCAGCGTGTTCTTCTGTGCTGAAATCACACCCACAGTAATCAGGTGAGACTTCGGAGCCCCCCTCAAAAGATGGGGACAAAATTATCCTCATTTAATTGATAATGGGCTGTGTAGCTTAATACCTTCTATGGGAGGGAAAGCCCCATGTAATTGGAGACCTCACAGCAACTTGGGGACGGCTTTTTACAGTGGCTGCAGTCATTCTGCACAAGTGAATGCGTGTCTGTGTATAGAGAGGCTTTGTTTTCCATGGCTCCACCTTGTGTCCCATCGCGGTGATGATCAGCAGGCCTGGCAGCTCATGAATTGCAGCTTGGTAGGGTCTTAAATACTCAACTGAACCAGTTTGTGTGGTTGAACATTGTAGTTTCTTCACTAACTCTGAGGGATTTGTTCAAGCAGCGATCGGGTGAGTCTGCATCTTGATATTAAAGGAGAAATTCCATGACTGTGCAGAGGAGGACATAGGTGCCAGCAATGCCCCTCCACAGGGCAGGTTAACCAGGACAGCTGCAGTGGTGCTTCAATGGAAGGGAGGTGTTGAACCATGTGGTGTAAATGCTTTTGGTGCACAGAGGTCTCTGCAAGCCTTCCTCTCTGCCTTTATTGCAGATATAGCTGTCTTTCTCTTCACATAAGACCTATCTTAGCACAGGCTCAAAGTTTTTCTAAAGAGGAGCATTTTCATCCTGGGAAATAGGAGAAATCAGACAAAAGATCTTTGTTGGAGAATTTCCCATAACACATTTTTGAATGGTCAGGGATTTGTACCATTTTAGACATGCACTGTTATCTTTCACAGCACAGAGGTTGTGCTTCTGTGTTCTGGATTATGCTTTCAGCAGTGCCACAGCAATTCAGGAGTTTGCCCTGGCTTCACTGAATTTCCCAGGAATGTCGGTCATATGGGTGGGAGGGAGAGAGAGTGGAGGAAAGAGGCTATTTTTTTTTTGGTCCCTTTCAAATTATATATTTTCAATAAGTTTGCAAAAGCATTATTGCAAAATAATGTCATCAGAGTAGCCAGAGTCTCCTTGCTCCATGTTTTTTTTTTCAGGCTATCTAAATTTGTGGATGTATTTTAGGGATAGCATTATTTCCACAGGAAAAGGCAGTGTGAGGAGTGAGATTATACAGCAGCCTGAAACACTAACAACTATTTATTTATGTGTGCATAAAAGTCATTTTGGTGCTTTTATGCCTTTTTAATTTTCTCCTTGTCTCTGTTTGAAAGACACATAGATAAGGGATTGACCATGTCAGCCAGAAGAGAATCTGCCAAGTAGGATCAGATATGCAGTCTGAACTTAGCAAGCTTTTTTCCCCTTAAATCACTTACGTTGCTACAGGAAGGGAGACAAAATCCTGGCTGGGAGCCGAAATTCTGCTTCCCCTGACTCTGCAGGGTGACACCAGGCGAGTGACAACAGCTAGATATGCTTCAGGATCCTTTTTTATTTATAGAAATGATGACACTCTGCACTGCTTTGCAATCCTACCACCACGATAAGATCCACTCAGGATTGTAATTAGGAGGTGTAGCTCAGGACAATAAATCTGTCACATGCAGAGGTGTGCTTGAGCTGCCTTCTGTCTTGCCTTTTGGTGGGATCTGGGTATTCCCTCATAATCTGCTCTCCAAAATGCCACCCTGGATGCCCTTTGGGTGTTGGAACTAGATGATCTTTAAGATGGTCCCTTCCAAACCAAACCATTGTATGGCACTAATATGCTTTTGGTTGGATCTCAAGGAACCTTAAGGAAAAGGAGGGCAAAGAGAACACTGGGGTTGCCTCTGGGGTTTCCCTGATCAAATCCATTATCTGCAAATCTCTGAGAGCAGAAAACAGCACTGCCATTACCTGGGGTAGCAGTGGCATGATAGCAAACCCACAGCACCCATCCATCTCTGCTGGTGTGGTGTTGAGGTATGAGAAGTTCCTGGAGGAGAACAGCCAGATCTTCATCACCAAGAGGTGACACCTGCTCCAGCAACATGAACATTCCACACTGTCATGTGTCACAGAGGGATCCTTCAGATCTGTCCACTGCACCCCAGTCTCCTGGCAGCAGGCAGGGGGGCTTCATCAGGAGCTACCCTTCTTTGTACCCAGGACTTCAGTGCAGACTTCCATCCAAATGCTCAATTAAAGCACCAAGTGTCACTGATAATCCATATGGAATAATCTTCACACCACTAGAGCCTGCATGTCTACTAAATAGGAATAGACTGAACAAAATACAGCATGTCCTCTCCTCATCCTCCACATACTCAGTTATCAAGTGGAAGATGGTTCTGGCTTTTTCTCTCAGTGTCCTGCTTTTTTGCCCACACAGCCAAAGAGTGGGCAGCAATGGCTGAATTAGAGTCTTTTCCCATCAATAGCTGTCTCAAGCCAAATTTCCAGAAAACCTGGTCTGATTTCAGTGCTGCCCTGCTTTGTGCAGGAGGCTGGACCAGGTGCTCTCCCAGAGCCTCCTTTAGCCTGGGCATCTCTCTGGCTCACTTTTACTCTGAGCCATGCCATCTGTTGACCCATTTGCTTATGCAGACATGGCTGTCTGAAGACAGGATTAACAATTCTCTGCTCTCCTGAGGAGTGCTGAGAAAGGCAAGGGCCCTTCCCTTAGGATGTCAGTGAGGACGTCTTGCTGTTCTCTGGCAAAACAGTGAGGTAGCAAGCAAGGAAATTCTACTGCACGAATAAGCAGGACCTTTCTGAGGACAAAATTTTGAACCAAGGTCGCTTTGCTATTTGCCCACGTTAGGACCATAAACCTCATGCAAACCATCCCTCTCCTCTGTCAGTGGGTGAGCAGGGCTTGGGAAAGTGGCCCTGCTCGATTATCCATGTGGCCATGCCATAGGAAAGCCCCCCACAGCAGCCACTTGCAGGCAGAGCTTCGAGGGAGAAAGCTGGGACTCTCTGTGGGTGCCAGCAGCCCTTGCACTCCCTCTCCAGGCTCCACTCTGCATCTGGAGAGTGTTTGAAATACAGACACAGATTCCTGCCATGGAATTCCTCGTGCTGAGGAGGAGCAATGCCCCAGAGCACTCAGAATATTTTTCTTTTCCACCTGCTGTCCCCTGTCACCTGCAAAAACAGTGGGAATCATGAGGGTGCTGTCTCTCTTGCCTTGAAACTGTTTTCCTGATGTGCACAGAAACAACAAAAAATTCCTGACAGTATTTTCAGTTTCCTCTTTTTGTTTTTTTCCCTTCACATTTTCACATCTGCAGTGTAGTTCAACCTTAAAGAAACCCCTTGTAGGACACACACTGAAATGTACTTTCAAGCCTCTTCTGCCAGGTTTTAATGGTACTGGGAAAAGTAATGCCTACTCTAATTACTGACGTCATATGGAAAAACTTTCCCCCCCCTGCAAATCTGAAGCCACTTGACCCATAAATGACAGAGCCGTCTTTGTTTTTGCCTTTTCCTGTTTTCTTTCAGCTTGCTTGATGTCCTTCTACAGCAGCATTTAAAACTCACCTCAGGTCCTTCTCAGGGAGGTTGAGATACAATTTAGCCATTGCAATCACTGATGTAAATGAGCTAGGCTTTTGTTGCTCCAGAGCCAGCTTGGAGAGAGATTTGCCATGCATTTGGGACTGGTTGTGTCAATTACTCATGTGAGCGTATTAATGAAGTTGCAGGGAGGCCAGTTGCACAATAGTTGCATTCAGCTGGGTTTCTAAATTGCCATTGGAAAGTTGGCAAGTTTTTAGTAAGGGCTTTTGCTGCATTTGGGGAAGTCACAGTTGTCTGTGAAGATGCTCTGCTGAGTCTGAAGAACTGGAACATACATATGTGAATTTCGATCCAGTCAGCATCCCAAGAGCATCTTTTGAAACCTGTGTTTGCTGTCCTTCATCTGTCAAGTAAGCAGCAGCGGATTTTGGAAAGGATTGAGTGAGGATTAGCTTTAACACTGTGGCTGGCTGAGTGAATTTGGCATTTATGTTTATTTGTACAGTGATTTCTAGGATGCTTAGTCAGGGAAACTGTTTCTTCCTAAGTATTTGACGTAAAACAGTCCCTTTACCTTCTGCAAGTCATCTTCTGTAAGTTTTTGTTGACAGTAACTTCCTCTGGCATGTCCCAGAGGAAGTGTAGGAAGTGTGTTGCCCTCACTGGTTTGGTAGAGAAGCAGGCTGCCAGTGATTAAACTCACAGAGAAGTCTCCCTCTGCAGGCAGCAGGGTCTTTGGGAGATGAAGGACGAGCTACCACTGTCACAGATTTTGTTAAAATGAGCCATTTAAGGATGACACTCTGCTGGCAGGAGACCTTAGCTCTGTCACAGAAGGAGGGAATGGTCTGCCCCTAAGAAACACTTGCAGTGGCACTTCTGTGTGAGGGCACCCAGAAAAGACAAAAGCAGGATTGTGAGGTGTGCCAGGGCCTGGAGAGATGCTGATGAGCAAGACAAGGAATTGCAAGAGAGTTTGCTTGCATAGCCAAGCATCAGGAGAGAGCACTGAACTGACCTTTCACAAGCAGTTTATGTGCCTCTAGCTGGAGGAAGATGAGTCTATTTTCACACTTTTTTTCCCTGAAAATTATGCATTTTATTATATCTCCAGTGTGTTGAGAAATTCCAGCCATAACATGATATTTTATATAGAAAATATTCCAGCACTCAGTGTTTGATATAATATTGTGGTTGAGGTGAAGCAGGTGAAGAAACAGAAAGGGCCTTTGCATGGGTTGCACAGAGATGTTTATTTCAGCCACACGTGTGCAAAGCCCCGGAGTTCAGAGGCAAAGACAGAAGCAATGGTCTGGGGCTTTGGGTTAGGTACGTGGGATGAGCAGGGCAGGGAAAGAAGTATCAGAGACCAATTACCAGGGGACATGGGGGTGTCACAAGGGTGGGGTTAGGGCACAGGGGCCAAGAGGGAAAAAAGGTGGGAGTGCCTTTCAAGGTCTCCACAGTATAATGGATCAAGGCAATGGTTTGTAAAGTCTAATCTCCTGCCTCCACTGCTGAATGGTGCCAGATACTTTAGAGGCAGCCAAAATTGACTTCTGCACTTACTGCTCCTTGGTGTGTCTTGTCTAAGTGGAGAAGGGTGACAAGCAAAATCTGGTTTTCCCTTACTGAATGTGGGAATACTTGGAACTGGGAGCACTTTAGAGTGCTGTCTATGCCCTCACATGATAAAGCTTCTCTTCTCCTTATGCGGGGGCAGTTAAATGGGTGTGAAATGATGGTTGAGTGTAATTATTCCCCTCTCTGCTTGTGCTTGCAGGGGAGGCGGGCTGGGGCTGGTCCTGGCCAGCGCCGGCTTCGGCCGCCTGACCGCCCCCATCATGGAGCTCCACAACCAGAAAGGTTACTTCCTCCACCACGTCATCTTCGCCTGCTGCACTCTCATCTGCATCATCTGCATCCTGCTGCTGCCCGAGAGCAAGAACCAGAACCTGCCCGAGAACATCCCGGATGGGGAACATTACACCCGGCAGCCCCTGCTGCCGCACAAGAAGGGGGAGCAGCCCCTGCTCCTGACAAACTCTGAACTCAAGGATTACTCTGGCCTCCATGACTCAGCAGCCGTGAGCGACGGGATCTCGGAGAACACCACTGCCAACGGCATGAAGTCGATGTAACTGGGTGGATTTTTTCCTTCCTTTTTTTTTTTTTTAATTATTTTATTTCCCCTTCTTATATTTCTTCTCTTCCTTTTGTATTTTATTTGATGCTGTTGTGCAGGAGGAGTAGCACTTTGGGCAAAGGTGTTTTGCACGGATTTTATAAACCAGTGGTGGAGCAGACACAAACTTAGAGGAATTCAACTCTGCTACTAAAGCAAATTTTGACATCTTCAACAGTTGTGCAGATTACTCTTGAAAAGTTTTGGGGGAAAAGACTCATTTGAGAAAAGACCTGGCTGGTGGTAGCCCTTCAGAACTCTTTTTTTTCCTGCCATTAAATATGTATATTTATTTTGATTTATTCTCAAGAAGCACTTTATTTCCTTTTCCTTTCATAGATCACAAAAATGAAGCCATCTTATACGAGGTGCAGCCATTCCAAGAGAGAAACCATGGGGGGAGGGGGAGTGTTGTTTTCTGTTTTGTTTTTGTGTTTCTTTAAAGGAAAGAGGGATTCACTGCAAAGTTGAATTGACTTAAACTTAGACTTGTGCAACATTCTTCTGCCTGTCTAGAAAGTCCAAGTGCCCAAGTTGCCTGCTGTGTTTGTATACACTAAAAAAAAGGAAGAAAAAGCAAAGCAAAACCTGTTGTGACTCAAACTCTGACTGCATTTTAGGCAGCTTATATTTGTCTTTATAGCCCATGTGCACTTAAAAGTTACTTTCTAAATTAGTCCTTTTTTGTTTTCACTGAATGCATTGGAGAAAATCCTACCCAAACAAGCTGATTTTTCAATGAGAATCAGCTTTCTGCATTTTAAGAGTATATTAATCTATTTTAGGTGGTTGCCACTGGTCCTTAACAGTAATGTAGATGATGCAAATGATTTGACTAATGATGCAAAAATGAGTTTTGCTTAGAATGGCTATAATTATCAGGAGGTCCAGGATCTCTGACTGCTCCAGGAAAAAAGCAGAGACCAGCAGTGATAAACAGTACAGAGCATGGGCAATGATCTATACCTTTATTCCACAAGGCAGCATAGCTGGGATTTCTGCTCCTGGGAAATGAGTGTCCTGGTATTGTTTTAAGTGTTTTTAGAACCAGGGTTTGGGTTTTCAATTTAAGTGGAAAAACTACTCAAATGACTGTTGGAAAGGAATTAATTGATAGCCTGTGAGTAATGACTTACTGAGCTGTCTTGGGCTCTTAGAGATGTGTTCTGGTTCTGAACCAAGAATATACAATGAACTCACTCTTATTTCCCCACTTTCCCGACTGCACTTGTAAGACTTAAGTTCAAAAGAAAAGTTTACTTAAATTGAATTAATTCTACACAAAGTGAACATCCAGTTTACCTCCTGCTGTGCAGACGGCACTTTGATAGTGGCCACTTGACTTCTCTCTTCCAGCCCCCAAACCAACTATTTCCTTTGGCCATTGGCTTTTGGTTCTCACTCAAGAGAATATTGTGAGGATCTAGTTCAATGCAAGGACTTTGTAAAGAGCTTTCTTGCATTGTAGTTAACCCTCCCCTCTGTCCCTCCCTCTTCTCCTTTCTCACTCAGGCCATCCATTTGTGATTGCTCGGTAGTGCAGACGTTCAAACAGAGCAGCAGGATGTCAATGTTGTACTGAGTGTCCGTATGATTGCCACTTTGTTTGATGTACATCTTGCGTTCACATGCAGGGGAAGTGCTCATTTGCACTTTCCTGCTCTACCTTCCCTCCCCCTTCCTTCCTTGCTGTATATATTGTCGATTAACTACTGTACCTAACGATTTCCATCCTCCATTAGGCTGCCAATGTCCTCTTACAGGCCCCAATAAATCAGAGATCCAGCAGGCCATGCAGTAAAGTAGCACAGCCTCAGATGCTGACGGATGAAAGGGGACAGGTAGACCTGCAGAAGCAACAGAGGTGATTGTGTTCAGAGTAACAATGTTGTCCTAAAGCTGCTAATTTTTACAGAGGATGATGTGGACATTTGGGTTCTTCTTGAGCCTGGTAAGAAACACTGGACCAGTTGATGGTAGTTTTGCCCAGAGTTACACTACTGGTTTTTTTTCACCTTTGCTAGAGTTGCTGTGACAGCAAGACCCCGATCTTCCGAACACTCAAGTTTTGTTGTCAGGCTTGAGTGCAGCTGCTTCTTTTTGTTCTGCACCGAGATGTTTGCAGTCCATGTTCACCTGAGGAAAGAACCCAGCCCTTCCCCACTCGTGCAGTATTCACGTGCCAAATTTGTGCAATACCTTTTGCCTTCGATGCAAGATGCTTGTGGCAAGCCACGCTCATTCGGGGACAAAAGAAATGGGTTCACAACAAAAAGCTGAAGAAGCAAAACAAGGCTTCAGGGAAGAGAAAAAGGCCTGAGAGAGGAGAAGGTGCGAGCACAGAGGCTGAAAGCAGCGTCCTGCCATCCATCGTGCTGTGGAGCCGATGGCTCCTTCCTTCCTTCGTGGTCTTCTCCGTGGCCTGCGTGCTCGAGCTGTGGCACAGCTCTTGTAGACCTTCCACAAGCCTACAAACCCGGCTGCTTCCAGCGCTGTCAGTGGTCCTGGTGAGCTCACCGCTGCTGTCCACAGCGCTTTATCCTTTCCTATTCTGGTGGTTGCTCTCCGATGACAGACAGGCACAGGGAAAATAATACTTGTTTAAACATATCAACATTTAGACAGTAAATACACTAGGTGACAGGAACATGCAGCAATTTTTTTTTTAAGAAAAAAATTCTTATGAAGTTGATTTGATTTGCTGCTTTTTTGGTTTTTTGCTTGAAACCAGGTAGTTGGTACTGATCTGCAATGAAGGGAACCCCAGCTTCTCTAGTCAGTCTGGCCCTCTGCCACTGTCACAACAATAAAGCAAAAACTAATTTCCTGCCTTGGCAGTTCCAGTTTTGCTCCTTTTCCTGAAAACAGGAACGCTTCTATGATGATTATGTTCTTCCACACATGCTCACGGAGTTGGAAAGCTTTCACTAAACCTATCTTGTGTGGAGGAGCCAGGTACCAGGTGTTGCAGCAGGGCAGAAAGAAGTGTAGGGATGCTTGCCCTGCCTTGTCTAGTCCTGCAGCAGGACAGGGCTCTCTGCTGCACCATTGGCTCCTTGACCATGTCTCCTCTGCAGCCATCACCAGGAAAGGCTTTTCTCAGGCGGCTCTTTCTGGCCACCACAACAGGGGAAGCAGTCCAAGCTGTCTTGTCCATTTTTGGCCTTTTTTTCTGTGAACCTTCAGTAACCTCTAAGCCCATCAGTAGATTTTTCTTTGGGTTTACCATTTAAGGGCTTTCTCCATCTTTGTAAGTTCAAACAAAAATGTGAAGTGACATTATGCTTGATCTTGGGGGTTTTGTCCCCCTTTTAAGGTTTCAGTACTGCTTTTGTTGCCAGACACACTGCAAAGAGATAACACCTGTTTGCAAGTGTTTTGTGGCCACTCTGAAAGGGGGTTGTGTGATTTACTTTTGGATTTCACTGAGCAGGCTTTTTGTTGTCGTTCTTTTTAGTGAAAGTATTTTACTTAACTGTTGCCACTTCCTGGAGCCAAACACTTTATTGGTCACCAAATTGGAAGCAGAAGTGCCATTAACTGAACTCTGTGAATGTCAAGTCAAGTTGCGCCTGTAGCTGGCACATAAGACAACACTATTGAGTGGGGGGGATGATATCCCCCACTGTACCTTTTTTTTATTTTGTTTTTTAAGAAAAAAAATGAAATTACAAACCTCATTTTAAATGTATTGTGTAAATTGTTTCGGGAAAGGAGTACGGTGTGTTTTGTCTAGTGGGCGAGATCTCCCTCCCCATTTCAGTTTCTGATGAAGTTTTAAAGAATCGTGTTACTGTATGTTTTGATCATGAATAGTCTGGTGGTGCTTCCTCATAGCACAAGCTTAAATCAAGTACTGAAAACAGTCTTACAAGCTAAATGTCTGCATGATGTTACATCTGTTGTACCTACTGAGAAGAACTTTGTATGTAAATGTACAGAATAAAATGACGTTGTCCCATCAGTTTGCTCTCCCGGTCTGGCTCCCTTGCTGTGACTTCTCAAACTCCCAGCAGCAGCTGATGCCTCAGCAAATAGCCCTATCCTGCTCTACAAACAGAATGAGCTGTTTGTAAATCAGGCTAATTAAAACAGCACATTGATTTGCAACTAATTATCCTTTATGGTCAATTACAGAAGCATAGTTGACTGTTTCCTCAGTGGTGTAAATTAAAAAGAAAATACCCTTCAACTGTTGCATTTTGCTATTCTGATCTTGAACTGCAGCCAAGGACAGGCAGCTGCTCCCACCAGGTAAGAAGAGTCCCTCTATACCCACACCAAATCTGAGACATTGAAGCCACAGGTGTTCAAACCCTTTTGGACAAGAGACTCAGCAGTTGTGCTTTCTACTGCAACAGCTTCACGAACAGTTTTCAGTTGCTGATTGTGGCACCACAGCAAGGTAAATTGATCACTTTTTTTGTAGGTGCTTAGGATTGTTGCCTAGAAGCAGCAGCAGTAGTTTTGCTTTGGTTTGTATCAGAAGCTGATGCCTGAGCTCAAGTCAGGGTTCAACTCTGAATGAAACAAAAAAACAAACCAAACCCCACCAAAAAACCCCCAAACCTGGACATTTAACTCCTAGCTGCCATCTCATCAAACAAAACAGGCCCTGGACCTGCCTTTGAATGGATACCCATCCTACCTGAAAGCAAGTCCAGAGATGTAGTAGCAGAATGCTTTTCACTGGTGGTCATGGTAGCAGACCTCTCTGATTTTATGTATATGCTCAATTTACATGTGATGCTCTTCTAGCAGCCTGACAGATTTATCTATTGCTCCAGAACTCAGCTTGTGCCTTTTCCTTCTATGTAATCCTCAGGGATGCATAAAAATAACCCTTTGTGAAATCCTTCCAGTGTTCTTAGTGCCCAAGGGATGGAAGGAAATCCATTGTTTAGCACCAGTACTACAACCAAGAAGGGCTAAAAGGACAAAAGTAACACTTGTGTCACAGCTTTACCATATAAAAATGTGGGGTTTCTTTATTTGAACACTAAAAGCTGCTATACTATGTTCAATGCTAGTACACAGTAGATTAATTGTACAGATAGCATTTGGAACTGATTTGCCATCAGATCTCAGTATTGTGTGGAGGCCAGAGACCACATGCACTTTGACAATGATGTTCATCCATTGCAGCATCCATGTGCTATCCTACTTGGCAGGGTAGCAAAAAAAAATTTGTTTTGAAAACTCAAATCCTATTTGAAAAAAATAAAATCAAAATCAAGTGTATCTATATTTAATAACAACCACAAATTCAATACAAAAAAATATACTAACTTTATGTCAGTGTGAAAATTGAAATCAGTTTTTCTGAAACAAAACCTTCATCTTCTTTTACGGTGATGCACAATCAGAACTTGTCTGGAAAAGCTGTCATCTCTTCTTTGATCCTGTTTTCTATGAGTAAGGTGAAATTGCTGTCTGTGTTTTGAAGATTGTAGCTGACAAATATCTGCTTTTTGGTCTTGCTGGCTAAAACACAAAACAGAGTAGTCAGCCAGAGTTTATTCTTGTATAAAAGTGATCATGGTATTTGAGCAAGCCCCTTAAAAAGCCACACCATGCAGATTTCTAAGATGTTCTCTACTCCTGCTGTGCTGGGTGCAGTTATAAAGGAACAGCAGAACAAGTCCCTGAACACTGGGGAGCTGGGCAAGATTTTGCACTTCACAGAAGTGAACAAGACTGGTGACTGACAACTAGTTTTTGACCTGACACAAGACACTTTCCATTAGTAACTAGAAATCCTTGCAGTGCTTTTAGTGGATTTTTGGACACTTCTTAAATATTTTACATTGTAAGTGAAACCACAGACTGTACTGGACTCTTAGCACTGAAATTCAGAGTTGTAAATCTGTTCTGTGTAAAATATTAGAGGGAAAGTGCACAAGAAAATTATTGGGTCCAAATTAACTAAGTTCTGGTTTTTTATTAAAACCTTAAAAGGTTAATAAGCCTTAAAAGGCCCCAAAGCTATGCACCAGTTCTGTCTAAGCTTGCTGTCAATTTTGTTTCCCTTAACCTTTTTTCATACAGTATCTATGAATGCTCCAAGAGGCTGGAGAGCCATTGCTGAACATGATGGAGCCAAGCACAAGTTCCAGGCTACTGTAATGACAAGTACCAAGAGAGAGGTGCTACAAAATTAAGAGCTGCCTTCCATGACAGAGCTAATTAACAGTGATAAAAAAACCTGTCCAGTGGGACAAGAAGACTTAATTATCAGAGTAGAAGAGAGAACACCAAGAAGTGCTTTATGAATAAAATGTCATCCTACTTAGATTTTGTCATGGTAATATAGCAAATTTGTGGCTCTCTTCCTATATTACTGAAGCTAAACTTTATGAAAAATGTAAGCACCATATAGGAAAAATAGGCACTAAATTTAAATTGAGTTGTGTAAAATAGAAGACAAAAAATAGTATTTGGGTTACGAGATATTTTTGTCTGGGAATGTGCTGGGAGCTAATGATCCCAGACACAAATCAGACTGTTCTGATGAATATTCAAAAATGTCATCTGAATTTTTAAAACGTCAAAATAGAGACACTAGGACTTCGAAGATATCAATCCTTTCTAAATAGGACTATAAACAGTTAAATAAAGAAAACCCATCTATGTGTATGTATAAAATGCTCAAGAACTCCTTTAAGGCATTTTCATTATGCAAATGAATTTTTTATTATTTTCTATTCTAACAGGTTACCAGCTTCCTGACTCAGTAAGTAGAGCTGCTTCTGAAATGCAAGGACTCATTTGCCTTTTAAGATTTGGCACTACAAAATGCTGATATAATGCAGCATGGTGCTCTGACTGCAAAAATTAGCACCTGGCACTAGATTTTTGTGGTATAAAGCAGCTCGGTTTGTAAGCACTAGTGCTTCATCATCATGCCATAAATGAATGCAATGCTAATTCTGAACTAATTAATACCATTATCCTAGCTAACAAAACTATATAGTGCACTGCAGTGTCAAAAACTGAACTTCTTAATTATGTTTGCCTACAGAGTCTCTGGAATGCTGTTCCAGTTCCCAGGAACAGTGTCAGGCTGGGAGTCCCTCTGGGCTGCCTGTGCCAAGGACCTCTGCTCCCAGGGCTCTGCCCCAGCTCTGAGGGGCAGGGGGACCTTTTCAGTCCCTGCTTCCCAAGGATTCAGTTGGACGTGTGCACTCCTGTGGAAAGGACAAAAGAGGGCAGATCTTCTCCGTGGAAGACCATCTGCAGCTTCAGACTAAAGCAGAAAACTGCAAAGGACATGGCTTACCTAAAAAGCCCTCCAGCAGGTCTGCTTCCCATGCAGCCTGGTTAACAACCCCTATTCCACTGTCTCTTCAAAGTGGAGGAAAAACACCCTTGACAGCCATTGTCTGGAATGTGCTGCATACCAGGAGAAACTACAGCAGCACAGATCTGCTCGTACAACTCCACGTACAGAGCAAAGGCCCAAATCAAAGCTTAAAGAGCAGCCCAGCAGGAGCAGAAGAGGCAGGACAAATGTTAGACATGAGTTTGTAGACTATTTATGCTGGAAAAGAGGTGATGAAAGTGGTCAGTGCCCAGCTGAGAAATACTAAAGAAAAGGCTGACATGATCTTCACCAAGGGTCTGCCAGTCTCTACAGAAAGAAGACTGAAGACATGGCACCAATCAGTAGTGCAGCCCAAAACACTGTAATTTCAGGATATGCACGTGAGGGAGGCACTAATGGCCAAGGACTTTCTCACGAATTGGCCTCCAGTATCCTACAGGAAACATTCTTAGAATTTGGGTTTATTGACTAGTGAGACACATCTTGTGCCAAAGAAATCAGGCAGGGTGGTGGGAAACAGTCCCTGCACCTCATACAAGCAGATATACGTAGAAAGAGGAAAAAGAATGAAGCACATGTATCTTCAGCAACAGAAAAAAATCAGAAATACATTAGGAGATAGAGCCAATACACGAAATGCAGCTGTTGTGACTAGGACCCCTACCAAACTGTAAAGAAAACAAAAAGAGAATGTGTGCACTGTGTTGCACAGCAGCACTGAAACTCCTGCTCCAGGGCAGGAAACATTGCATTCAATAAACTGCATACTGCAGGAACACGTGACAGATGATGGAATGCGACTGGCAAGTGTTAGAAATGGAAATAGTTATGTGCAAATGGCATTGCATGCTACTCCTGCTAGTGCCTGTGGAGACAAGAAAGTGCACGGGAAAAAATGGTGACAAGCATGGTGGGGGAAGGAGAGGACAGAAAAACTGCCTGCCTGAAGGTTACCACATGTCAGGATGGTTAAAAAGGCTACCTTGGAAGCACAACTATGAGTCAGACTTGGCTGTGAATAGCATGCTATTACAGATTTTGTGGGAGTAACAAGGATTTAAATTCCCAAAGAAAAACTAAACACCAATAACAGCAAAGTTGGGTATTTCTAGCTGAGGTCAAGCACAGATTTCCTTAACAAGCACTTCGTAAAACAAAGGTACAGGGATGCTTGTTGATGATCTTGTAGATCCACTGGTCTCAGGATAAATAAATAAAAAAATAGATAAATTAATTAATTTGGACTAAGTGACCATGAGTTCACCTAAATTCCTGGACTGTCAAAAGCCAGCCTAAAGACTATGGTGTGAGATTTCAAAAAGACGTATTTCTTTTCTCAGAAGCTCAGGTAAAGAGCAAGCCATATTATTCAAAGCCATAAGTGTATTATTGACTTTCCCCTTTGAACCAAGGGTGAAAAAGGTCTATAGGCCTTCCTCAAAATAATACCTTAACCAGGATCACACAAGCAAGAACAGAATATAAAAATAATACGAGAGGAGCTGACTGGCAAGGAAACCTGCAACTCAGTGGAGAGATGTCATGGATACAGAGGAACATGGACCAAAAGCTGGGCCACAGCTGGCTCAAAAGTTTAAGATGAAATAACAGAAGACACCTAAAGCACACAAAGAAAAATAAAATAGAAAGGTGCATTATACTCCAAGGATAAAGAGTAACCTATAGACCAGTACCAAGCAACAGTATCAGTTCTCAGTAACAAAGTATGGAAAATTAGTAACGCAAATAACAAAAGTGCCACAAGAGAAAAAAAAAGCAAAAATGAGAAAACTCACTAGGAGAAAGAAAAGTTAGGTGACTCAGGCAGCCTCTAGAACACTGAAAGAACTAATGGAGGAAATGGCAAGTTATTATGAACTTCAGTGATGAAACTTGTAATAAATCTTTAAGAGTGAAGATAGCAAGTACGTGTACAAAAAAAAGCCCCAAATGAGTACGGCAATCACTAAGATAACTTAGAGCTGTCAGCTGGGCAGCAACACTACACAGAATATTAGAGCAAGATTCAGAAGAAATGAGTGACAAGGAGACCAAATGGAAAGCGGAATAAACTATTACACTTTACCCAAAATAAATCCTCTCTGACTACATTTTTACTGACTTCCTAAGGATAAGGCACTACACATAAAAAAGTCATGTTATACAGTACCCCATAAAATTATTACTTAAAGTGGAAAGGATTGAAGTTAGTGTGAATAGAAAACTGTTCCACCAGAGTCGACTAAAACAGTGTCTATTAAAAGAGAAATTATTGTAAAGAAGAAAAGATACTAATACTGCTTTTCAAAGATCAGTCTTGTGAGCAACCCTTTTTTATATGTAGCCATGGTTGAGAAGCAGGTTTACACTCATGGAAGTGCCTGACAATGCAAACTCAAGACTGTCTGAAATGGAGATCAGCACAGAGATCATTAATAATGCTGTGGCATTTCCATCTGAAACAGAGGACGTAAGGTGAGACTGAGCAGCTCAGCGTGTTGCTTTTAAAACCTGGTAACAAGCACGTCAGCAGTTCACCAGTTGGAGCTGAATCAGCCACTGGTGGGTGATGATGAGTAACCAGCATGATACAGCTGTCAGAACTGCGAAAGTCCTAGGATGCATTAGGCCGTGTATTTTTAATCCTTTTAGTGTGGACATAGGAGTTTGCAAGCTGTCATTAAGATTCAGGATTTCAGCTATTGCAGTAGTTGTAGCACACTGCACGTGATGGAAAAGGAATCATCCTGAGCGCCGCCCATTTGGGTCAGTCAGATCAAGCCCAGGCTTGATACAACCCTGGACTTCCCAGGCCAGAACTTCTTGGAATGTGGGGGCTAAAAGGTGCGAGATGTGATGAGGGTTGGCTTCATCTTCAGGTAAAACGCAGGTGCCTGGCACGACGGCCAGCTCGCCCACCAGCACAGCAGTGTCGCAGGTTTACAGAAAGGAGGTCACCTGAAACCCCACTCGACAGGTGCAGCATGTGCTGCCGCTGCCTCGCACCCAAAGCCAGGATAAGGATGTCAAATAATTCACTTCTGATAGCGCAAAGCGTGCCCAAGGCCGCTGACTCAGGTGCCGCAGACTTGTACATGCATGGGGGAAAAAGTGAATCAGTGGATTGGATGGAAGCCGGGGCAGCGCGCACCGCATTCCTCTGCACCCACCCAGCCCGGGCTGGTGGCTCAGGGCCACCAGAGAGGCACGGCCCGGTCCCGACCCGCGCGTTCCCGGCGGGAGGCGGCTCCCAGCTCCCGGCTCCCGCTCCCCGCAGCGCGCAGCCGCCGCGCCCGCACCTACCCAAGCGCTGCGCCAGGCAGGAGGAGGCGGTGTCCGACGGGTCCCCCAGGAGCGAGGCGGCCACCGGGATGCTGTCCTGCAAGCGGAGCACAGCACAGGGCACGGCTTAGTCCCGGCAGCGCGGGTTAGGGGCGGCGGGGAGCGGGCGGGACCCCGGCAGCGACACTCACACGGGGGCTGCACATGGCGACGGCCAGGCTGGCCAGGGCGGGCGCGGCGCCCACCCAGAGGAAGAGCGAGTCCCGCAGCCGCATGGCGTGGAAGTGCACCCGCTGCTCGCCCAGCTGCCCGCTGAAGTCGTGCAGGGCAATGCCGCCCGCCGCTCCGCCGCCGCCCGCCGCTTCCATCGCCGCTTCTCCCGGCGCGGCCAGGCCCGAGCACGCAAGGCCCGAGCCGGAGGCCCGGCCCGGCCCGCCCCGCGGCGCCGGGGAGGCGGTGCTCGCTCCGCTCCGCCGTGCCCGCCCCGCCGGGAGGCACCGCCCCCGGCACCGCCCCTGCCCGGCCGCCCGCCCGGCTCCCCGGGGGATGCGCCCTTCTTTCCAGGGAATACCGGGACACGCGCTCCGTGCACTCCCCTCCCATCCCTCCGAGCCCAGACCCCGCCAGTACGAACACGCACGCCCGGGTACAGCCCCCCACCTCCTGAACTTGCCCCCGGTCGGTGCACACCCCCTCCGTTTGCCACTATTCCCCTCCCATCCCAAAAGACACAGCCCCCTCCCGGTGCGCAGGCACCCCTCTGTGTGGGAGCACACCCGCTCCGTGCACGGCTTCCCGGGCGGGGCTCGCACCTCCCTGGGCTTTGCCTCGCTGCCCGCCTGGGAGAGGGATAAAGCGGAGGCAGCCGCAGGGATGAGCAAACCCCACTAGGTGGCAGGTGAACCCCTGAGTGAGAACGCGCGCCTGGACAGAGACGCCTCCAGGGAGTCACCCGAGAGGAGCCCCGGGGTTTCAGACTAAAGGGAAAGGGATTCCGTGGTGCTCTGCAGCCTCGGGAAGGGGGAGGAAGGTCACGGCGACCTTGGCTTCGTTCAGCTGCGGAGGTTTTCAGCATTGGGCATCGACAAAACAAGTGATTTGGGTTTGCATAGCTCTGGAGAATATGGAGCCGTGAATAATTAAAAGCCCTACTTTGGGTATGAATTTTGTGCTCATCACTCTTTCCACCGGAGCACAGCAAAGTCGGTCATTACTGGAGAGGATTTTCAGTAACTGTACCGTCTGTTGCTGATAAGAATATTGTCTGCTCCCTGATGGCCGTGGGCCCTTTACAATTGGAAACATGTATCTTCACGCCACCGGCAGAGCAATCATTGCTGCACAAAGAGCAAGCACGTTAAGGGTGCTTATTAACAGATTGGCTCTTTAATCTACATTTCCTCTGCCTCCAGTTTCCTACATACCGCTAGAAATTAAAATTCCCATTTCTAAATGGTAAGATTTCATTTTCCCATTGAGGAAATGGGTGGAGGGAAAGGAGCCCTTCATCGCTTTTCTTCCCTGAGCCGCTCCAGTTCTCCTGGCATCTGCCAAAAAAACCCCTCAGCCCAGCTAATTTCTGCCCATGCTGCCGCACTGACGCTAAATCCCGGGAGGCAGCTAAGCCAGGCTCAGCTGCCATACCCCGACATCCCATGGCACAGGATCAGCTTGGAGAGAGGGGCGGGGTCGCACGCCACCTCCCCTGCCCTACATTTGTCACTTGCTTATTGCAAAAAGCATTATGGGATGTATGGTGTCATCCCCGCTATGTCGGCCCTCCGCCTCGCTGCTCAAACAGCATCGGGCTTGTGCTGGTCCTCCCATTTCCCCCCCGCTCTACAGCCAGTCCCAACTCTTCCCCTCAACATGGGTTGACCTCCCACAAGATGAGGTACTGCAGAAGCTGACTTTTGTGTTGGGACTCAAAAATCAGCCTTTCCCTGTCCCCCCAGCCTGTTGCAAACTGACACTTTGCCCCTGGGAACTGTGAAAACAGGCAAATAAATAGGTGACAAAAGCCACCTTGGAAGGGAGTGTTAGCTGCATGCACCAAACACTTCCCTCTCTCTGCTCGTTGCAGCTGCAGGTTCAGCCTGCAGCTGGGTAGGTAGGACTGCCAGCCAAAACAGCCAGGAGCCAGGAGCACTTCAGGAATAAAAATCTAGGAACAGGATAAAATGTCTGCTGGGAGTCACACAGGTGGTGGTGCTGAGAGTCCTGTGGTTAGACACCTGCAGGTGATGGAGGAATTTGCCCCAGGCTTGCTTGATCAGTGGAGAGAAAAGTAAATACTAGGGCACAGTTCACCTGAGCCGCTTTAGATCTCTCTTTTTAGAGAGAAGGAACTCCTCTTGCCTGGTTTCCATCGACTTGAAAGAAGATGAGGGTGAAAGGTAAGGTGTTGCACAGCTTTGCAGACAGATTTATTCACGCAGGCAAATCTTTTTCTGGGTGTTCAGAGACAGTTTCTTTGCTGTGCTGGGTCAGAGTTGGCCCCTGCAATGGAGTCCTAGTGGAGGATCTGTTCTAACAAAGCTCCAGCTGAGTGTGTCTTCCCACAAAATAAAAGTTTGGGCCTCCTTGTGTGCTAAACCTTTGTTAAAGTCATCTGCTGGATTGAAGTAAGAATTTTCTTCACTGGTCTTTCCACATCAGGTGCAAATGTCTGATGCTGCTTTGAGGCTGTCTCCAGGCTTGCTTCTTCCTACAGGGAACTGCCCCTATTTCATCACGCTGTGATCTGTTCCTCTTCTCACCAGGAGTCTTCTCCAAAATGCTTGTAACTTCCCTTATCCTAAACCCTTCAGACCTCTAAAAGTAAGTCACGGGGCTCCTCTGCACATTAGCAGTTCTGGGGGTTCAATACTTCTCTGTGAAATGCAGCTGCTCTCTGTAAATCGTGCTAAATCCTTGTCTAAGCTCAGAAAAGGAAAACATTCATCTAGCAACTAAAATGCTAGCTAAGCATTTTTATTTGCAGTGCAGGTGTGTGAGTAGAACTGTGCAGAACCAGACCATCAAGTGTGAAATTTATTTCTTGATTACAGCACTGCAAGGTCATGAGAATCCCTACAAAATGAGAGGAGAAAGCACTCTATATGTGTATGGAACCTCTTGCATTTCCTTTAAAATGCTATCTTTTTTTCCCGTGGCCTTGAAAGCAGCACCCATAAGTCTGCCTTGTTTGTCAGGCATGAGGCTGGAATGAGCTTCAGCTGTAGTGAGACACTGGAGAGAGAAATAACGATAAAGCAAACATACCTTACAAAAGCACCGCATGTTTATATGGATGTGTATGTATTGCTGCTCAGGTGAGATCCAAGGTCCAGGAGACCTGATTTAAAGGTATCTACTTCTATCCACCTTGTTCTCTAAAAGTTAGGTTGCCCATAAGAGTCACTAGATCCTAAACCTTGATTTTTACTGATCATCATCTCCCCTCCAGTACAGTTTCAAGTGAGGGGTAGATCTGCTTCCTGGTAACTCTGGAGTCAAGACCCATAAAGCTTAGTTATGAACTGGGATATCATTGAGAGCAGCAATTTTTTTCTGATTCCAAAATGTATTCTGTGCTTTGGCTTCTGCACGAATAAACAGTGAGTTTGACATTTGAGAAGGCAGGTAACCATTAGTGTGTGTCAGCAAACCTCCTGTTGATGCCTAGGATGTTCTAGTTTTCTTGATTTGTCATCCTTCTGCAGAGGAGTAAATGACTCTTGATAAAGCCAAGCTAAACCTCCCAGCTGCTCTGCTAAGGTTCCATGACACCAGGCTGTTGCTGCAGTAGCTGTGGATGCTCATTGTATGTAGACTTCCATCAGTGGCATTGACGGCTGAAGGAGTGGCCTTTTTTCTCTCTCTACATCAAGGCACCTGAGAATCTGGAAAAAATACTTCCTTTTTTTTCCCCCCCTTCATCATTACATGTTTTTTTCTCAGCTGGGTCCATCCCCTGACATAGATTGTTGTGCCACTGCTCAAAAATTTGTGGTGGCATCATGGAGGGCAGAATCAGGAAAGCAAGAAAGGGAGAAATTTCTCTGCCTACACTTGACAGTTACCATGGTTGTGATGCTGTGGCCATCTAAACCAGTTTAAGGTGGAGCTGGGCCAGTCCTTCTTTCTCGTGCTCATCTAATATGATGATAAGTCAGTCTGGGGAATCAAACTGGTCAGAACTTTTTCCTGGGATCCTGGCATGGGTTGTTGGTTAGATCTGATAGGAAGTTGCTTCTGCATGATCTAACCATGGCCATGGGAGTAACCTGAGGACTCAAAACACTTAGTCAAGCATTGGTCAACCCAAGTTGTAGTCTCAGAAAAAGAGATGGAAAGAGAATCCAGACTGGACCTTCTGAAAAAGTTGCAGAAAATGGAGGAATCAAACTTATGAACTTGTATGAAAATCAGTTTAAGAGATCTGCAAGGGGACTGCACTAAGTTCATGCTATGAATCTTGCAATTCAAAGCAATATGAAAGCCAGTCCTCTCTGAAAAAAAATCTGAAAACCACTAGTAAGCAGATGCAAAATATAGATGTACAAGCAATTCTACATCTGCAGCAGCTGCTATGACAGTGTTAGCAGAACTGCTGAAACACCTCCTCAGCATACATGTTGGTACCTAGGCAGGCATTACTGTGAGGAAATTCAGTTCCTCATTTCCAAAAGACTTCAGCCGTTTTTTGGGTGGGGTTTGTAACCTCAACTGTTAGGATTTCCGTACAAGTGGGATGAAGCCTGAAATGCAGGTGGCACAGTAATTCTCTATCAGTTGTGATCCTCTGCACGGTGTGATTGATTAGAAATCATGTCTGTTAAGTTTTGTGCCCAGCTGACCCGGTGGCCTCCCCTCCTGCAAATCTCTTCTACCCTGCTTTATTTCATTCCTCAGCAGACTGGAAGAGCACAACTGTTGCCTATCTCCCTGCGGCTGAACACAACTCCATGTGACACACAGCTTGTAAGGACCTTTGTGAGCCCAGCCTAAATTTCTGCCCTTATCAAATCAGACAGTTTCCTGTCATTGTCATATGAGTCATTGGAGGACTTGTCTTAGATCTGTTGGAGCGTTTGGGACATGTGGTTTCGTAGCTGCTGGACGGGAGGCACTAACACGGAGTGACTCACTGCTCCCCTCGGGGACAAGAGGTTTATGCAGTCAACCGGAAATCATATTTTGTATGCAGACAGACCACTTCATGGTGGAGAATCCCTTACCCACACCAACTCTCCTACACAAATGTCAGCAGCTGTACTGAGACCTGCAGGAGCAATGAGTTATTACACACCTGTGACCTGACACAAGAAAGGGCATAGGTGTGAAGGCTAATGGAACTGACTTTTTGTGAGGTTGAGAAGGGAAGGAAAAAACCCCCATGAGATAGTATTGAAAAATGTTTTCCTTTTTATTGCTCAATTCAAATCCTAGATCTTATGTGACATACA